CATAATTAAATACATTGTCATCCCTGTCATTTTACAAAGAATTTGTAGAGACAACTATAATTAAGCGCGACTTAAGTGACATTTGAGTATTTGGATATAAGCTGTTTATAGCTCCTTCTAAACTGCGCCTTTAGCCAATCGCCACTTTAGCGCTTGTCTATCGAGAGAATAGAAAACTAAATGTTTGGGGATGACAATTGTCAAAATTTACGTCAATCCCATATAACTAATTTAGTTTTCTACTCTACAAGTAGACAAGCGCTAAATGGCATTTGGCTACTGCTGCTGACGTCTTTACCCTAAGGTTAAATGGTAGTCCATCGCCTACTGATTAATATTTAAAGTGATAGATTTGTTCCTTTTGCATAAATATAGTAAAACTAAAAATAAAGCTTATCTTCAGTTGTTAGTTTCTAAAACAGTGAATAAAAAAGGACGAAAGTAAATTTAATAAAAATCTACAATTAGGCGTCAAAGCATTCATTTGTATCACTGGGGATCATTCCCAGAAGACTGGCAGCCTTGCCACGTTGTATAGCAATGCTTGTTTTCTGATCGAAGCAATATCCATCTGGTCTCTTGCCGTCAACACGTACCAAACAAATAGGTTCTAATACGACTGTTACGCCGGCTGAGACAAGAGCACGACGAATAATGTCGTTGAAGCTGGCATGAGGAACCATAGTGGTCTGCACTTGTGCAACAAGAAAGACCATAGCGAAAGATCTTTCGTCCTTATGTTCTATACAACCACGTGCCTATTATATTTCATTTCCTAATTATTACACGATTATATTTACCATTTAAACCACACATAATCATGTTTATAATAATGAACTATGTACGATTAACGGAGTAATTTTGAATTACTTTTATACGCTCGTGTCGTTCCGCAGTCCTGTAGCCATACATAGGTTGTACATGATAATATGTACAATGATTAATAACCAATGTGCAAAAATAAAATGCAGCATTTATTTACGTTTCGCCAGCTATGTCAAGTATTGTCATATTCATTCAGAAACAGGGATGATGACAGGACATGAAAATTAAAAATCGAATTAGTCCGTCAGTTAGGTAATGAAAAAAATATAAGTCACGTATTTTTTTATTTTATGCATAATAAAATGATACTTATCAAAGTTTAGGAGCTAAAACGTCATTTCTACGTATAAAATATACATAGAAGTGACGACATTTCAAATCAATATATCGTCGAAAGTATTCGTTTCTGTAAAAAAACACGTGTGTAATGTTTTAAAATAATCTACCAGACGGACATTGAAATAAAAAATAGTAATCTACCCAATAGGGTAGATCATTCATTCATAATCATTCCCGAATCCGCATAGTTGGTGTTCGCTCTTGACTCTACCATTAAATATAAATCAACTAAAGAGTCACTGTTCTTATGTTTTCCAGCTAAATCTGGCCTGTCAACCATGGAAGATAAACCTGATTGGAACCATCCACAGTACTGGAATGCTGGTCTCCATGATAGTCTCAGGGTGGATGTCAGATAGGTAAGTGTTCAACTTCTATCATAATTTTTTTTTAAATAATTATGTAATTTATACCCGCCTCTGAATTAATCTCACATTTAACCTTTAATCTAATTACTATCGATTGATTTTTACACTAGTTAATAATATTTTGACTACAAAATCGTCCATACTTTTTTAAGAATTTATTTGAAGTGTAGATATTACAAAAAAAGTCAAATAGTCCGCTATGGCTAAGTGAAAATATTTTAGACCTTATAGTTTATTTTGACGAATTGTTGATGGCTTTGTGGTACTACAACTACAAATTCTGTAAGTCAGGATTACTTTGTCATAAATCTTCATTTCAATAAACCATCTTCCAGGTTCGGTCGTAAGCCAACGTTCATATTCTGCGTGTGCTGTGGCTGCATTGGCCTCATCAAAACCTTCGTGACCTCCTACTATGTGTACGTCGTCATCGAGTTCTTAGAGGCATCCGTCACAGGAGGTTCCTATGCTGCTGCTATGGTCATAAGTAAGTATACCTTAATGCCGAACAAACCATCATTGTCTGAAGACACAAATATTGAGCCCAAGTCTAAAATTAATGATGGTTTGGGCAATACAGAAATTAATATGCGAAATGCTACAATGCGTCCATTACGATTCTAAAGCAGCCAAACAAAAAATATGTTCGTACTATGAAAATTAATAAAAATAATTATATATATTATTTCTTGGTTTTCAGTGGTTGAGATAGCAAGCGCCAGACACAGGTTATTATCAGGAGTAATTTTCTCATACGCTGTCTACCTCGGTGAATGCTTGTTTGCAGTCATCGCCATGTTCGTGCCCTACTGGAAGACATTACTCCGCATCATCAACGGACCTCTCATCTTCTTCCTCTCGTACATGTTCATTATCCACGAAAGCCCAAGATGGCAAATTGTTAACGGAAGAATAGACAAAGCCAAAGAATCAATCAGAAAAATTGCCAAAATGAACAAAATAAATATCGACTATGAAGAATTGGATACTATAACTGATGTGGATTTAAAATATAAGTTCGATATAGCTGAAAATCAAGTTAAAGAGGGTTATGGTGAAATTTTCAAGTCTAAAGTGATTTTAAAGAGGTTGTTAGTGGTAGGGATGTGTCGGTTTACATCTAGTTTCGTGTACTATGGGTTGATGATCAACTCTGTGTGGTTGCCGGGTGATAAGTATGTCAACTTTTTACTGTCGACCGTGATGTCATTCCCCGGGGAGATCATTAGTTTATACCTTATGAACAAGTACGGGAGGAAAATACCGTTGATGGCGGGATACTTCATCAGTGGGACAGTTTGTGTCATCTCCGCCTTGGTGCCTGATAGTGAGTATAATTTTAATATACTTGAAAAGACGTTGACAAGTTCGTAACCTAAGGCCTTGGGCCCCGTGATCAAAGTAGAATTACCGATTTGGTTGTTTTTTGATTGTGAACCGATCAGTCACACCTAAACTATTATCACTCAAAATAAAACGGTCTCAGTTATTAAATTCAGTAATAGACAGTAATCGACTTACGAAGATAAAATAAAATAAGAATAAAACTCTAATTTATATAAATGATATTCTAGGATACTTATGGGCGAAGATCACGTTATTCTTGTTGGGTAAGGTGGTCATCTCAGCGTGTTTTACTGGAGCCATCACCTACACCATGGAGCTGTTCCCCACGAGTGTGAGGGGCACACTCCTTGGGTTGGGATCCTTCGCGTCCAGGCTCGGTGGCATGCTGGCACCTTTGTCACCGATACTGGTAAATATTTAAAAAAGATTTCACTATCCTGTATAATTCTAATGTAATGCTTACAAATGGTATAAAACTGGAAATGAATTGTGATAATCGAAAGGTAAAAACAAGAAAAATAAGGGCTACAACGAAACAACTATTATTCCGTGTTAATGATACTATTACAATCTTACTCATAAGTGATATGTAAGAAGTATAAATATTGCAACAGAAAAATGTAATATGATTCATGATGATAGTTAAAAATTTATTATAGACCAATATCATCTTGGAACGGAAAAAACAAAATAGATAACATCGTTACAAGTATCTACTCTACGTGTCTATCATTCAATTCCTATTCTCTCTTTTCCAGAACACAATATCGACCGCGTTACCATTCACATTTTTTGGATGTTCAGCGATCATAACCTCTTTGTCGCTCTTCCTCACTCCTGAGACAAAGAACACACCTCTCTACGATACCATTAAACAAGTCGAGGAAAGCGAGAGAAGAAGAAAAGAGAATAATACAGAGAAAGTTGTAGAACGATCTATGGACACTATTAGCGGTCATATTTAAGTAGTTTAATGTACAATTTTAAGTAAAAGTATTAATAAGTTCCTAATTTTCGTTTTGATTTTCACACCTAGGTACCTATACAAGTTCTTTCCTACCCTTGCTTTCCTGAAAGAAGCGGAATCCACAGCGTATGTTCCATCACAATAGATTTCTACTTACTATTTAGTACGATTACATAAATCTTTAGTTTTAATGATTTAAGCCCGAATACCGAAAGGCTACTTAATTTTAACTTGTATGTATTTATATATTGTGCTATCTCAGTAATTCTATAAAGAATTTGTAGTGACAGAACTATACATATATACTATAAATTTTAAAAGGCGCTTAACGCCTTTTAAAATTTAGTGGCATTTGAGTATATGGACATTAGTCGTTCTTACAATTGGACCTACAAACATGCCATTATGATTATCGTCATCTGTTTTTTCAATTAAAATGGCAATTACCTACTGAATGTTCTTTAGACTACGACTGCTTATGTCACTTTTACAGTGTGACTAGAAATAACTTTGCTATGTTCTACAGCCAAGATTAATACTCATTTATTATAATAATCCCTAGAAATATTTCATAATTATTATAATTCACATAATTTCTATATTAAGAATGACTACTGCACTACTATTACACCTCTGCCTAATCCATTACAAACAACAAGCTCTAAAATTATATTGAATAAAAACCCAGGCACATCTAAGAAAATAGATAAGGTTACGCCATCTATTGATGGCATTACACTTGTTGTAAATAGCTAAGTTTCACAACAATTACAACGTAAACGTAGATGGTGCTAGTTTACTTGCTTATTTGTGGAGTTCGTGGTGATTTGAACTTTAATTTTCTATTAACAGGCGTAGGTATTTTGGAAAACAAATAAAGAAATGCATCAATTAAACATTTATTTACTTACAATTTAGTTTAAACTAAGTGTAAAAATTGGAGGTGTTTTATCTTAAACTATGCTTACCTACCTACTATTACTTTAACACAGGTAAATTATGATCTATATTCTAAGCAGGAACTGCATCAGCATAAGCCTTGACCTTGGGAAAGGAGTATACTCTGTCCTTAACCTGCTGTAAGGCGGGGTACTTCTGTCCAAGATCAGGCATACGCATCATAGCACTCAAGTAATCAAATAGACCCGCAAACATGAAGTCAGCCCATGTCAACTGCAATAGGGAAAAAGTATAAATTAATAACAGAACTTCCCACGCCATCTATTGGTAACTATACAAATCACAAACTTCAGGAGATAAGCCAAGAAACGTTTAATGCAGGAACCTATAGAAAAATTGACAGTCGAAAACTACTAATGAAGTAAGACCATTGATAAGTTTGATCATTATAAGGCACTAAGTATTGTAGTGACCTGACTATTATACATAGGTATAAATTATAACAAGGAAATTTATGAAATTTTGTGCTTTGTACCTTTCCTAAAGCGACGTGACCGTTGTTCTTAGCAAAGAGAGCGTTTAGCATTTCTAGGGAGTCTGGGAAAACTCCTTTAGAGAACTCTTTATATTTCTGCTCCTTAATGACATCGTCCTTTTCGTAATGTGCTGATGCCGCCTCTGTAAGAATTAAATAATTCTTCGATTAATTTTTTACACTCATCACAATACACGGAGAACTATTGTAAACATCAAACAAAATTCCATTACCCTGCTTTTTCCAAATCCAAAATCACTTATATTTTGTGATACTCACTTATACGAAGATCATTGATGAGGTAGACGTTCTGGTCAATCTCTAGATTATCTTCCAGGGTATCTCCAGCCAGACCGTACTTGTTACCCAAGTACCGAGCGATGGCGATACTCTGAGCGTACTGCTTGCCGTCAAACTCTATGACTGGCATCTGTCCAAAGGGAGTATCTGGAAAATGAAAGAGAATTTTTCTCTAAAGATCGTAAGCTAGTTCGTTAGTGATGGTATTAAAAAGCTTATAAAATTCGTAAGGTGATGTTTAATAAAATATAATTTGTAGCTCGCTTATTGTGAATTTGAAAGTCATTCATTTAATATATGTTATCAAAAATCGAGAAGCTATCAAAAATCGAGATATCATAATACATATTTCACCATAATATTTTTACCATGTTCATTCATCAATAAATAGCAAATCACACACAGGTCTTATCACTCATTCAATCGTATTGTAATCTTTATAGGACAACCAAGTAATGAGGATAAGGAAATAATCTAATCTTTTGTTTGTATAAAAACATACAGAGGTAGGTACTGATATAGATTGATAAAACAGGCACGCTATATCAGGATTTTCACTGAAATAATAATTTCAAAACAAAATAAACCTAGCTTCTTTATTAAATGAGACTCTGGTTTGTCGTTCTGCCTGCCTCCATGGGAGACTGGCATGACGTTATGTATGTAATATCCATGTATGAACCCTTGTTAGTTCTTCTACATACATTTTAAAACGAGCAATTATTTTACTCTCCAATGTGTGTATAGATTTGTGATTTATATAAAATGAAATACACGCGGCGAAATACTTAAGGTCGAAGAAAACTGCTAGTCGTTTTCAACTGGTCGATCTGGAAATCTGGAGGCTCTTGTTTAGCAGTCGACCTTTTGTGACTGATATCAGTCATCATTATAATTATGATGATTATGAATATTTAGTCAAAAACACATTTTCACACACACCATTCATGATTAAGGTGATGGTTCATGATTGTCGTCTATCTATGTTATATTCCTAATTTTTTAGTAAACTTACTTGGTTTAAACTTCGGCCAGTCGTCCAAATCTATCCGATGGTCTTCGAACCCATCGCCACCATATGCCAGCAGCAGACGAACCGACTCGCCCAGAGCCTTTATTGGAAAGTAGTGGAATACGTATTTCGGCATGATTCTGTAATAATATTTTGTCAGTTGTGGCAATGTTTGATTTGTTTATCCTCTCTTTGATATCAATCGACAATGTTATTAATGTAAAAAGAGAAACCAGAAAGGTTTTTGGATCACATTTCATCATCAATATAAGATCCACTCCTGATCACCTACCAGAAGTGGATGTTATGGTTAGGCGCGCCATCATCCTCAGGTTATACTTAAATGGGCTATAAGGAGATGTTGAACTTATGTTCAAGCATGTATAAGTAGGGACGAAAAGAGTCAAACCTTTCTCTGTTACACAAAGACCAAATAAATGTTTCGTGATCGTATATAGGACCATGATTGAATTATAATAACTGTCGTGAGACATACTAAATTAATAATTATGTTTTTAGCATACTCATGAATATTTATTTATTTTACATAAGTACAGATACAGATGACAGATTGAAATCGTACACAACAATCTTAATTATAAATAGTGGGTAAACCTGAAGTCCAATTTACAGCTGTACATAACCTACTTATATCAAATTACATAAACAATTCCCAAATATATATGAGCCTAACATGGCTTGAAACTAGACGAGTTCCTCGTCAAACAGTTACGTGAATAAGTCGAAAACATAATAATTAATCTAGGGTCATATACGAAGTAAATAATCACCCAGATATCAACCAATAAAAGAAAAAAATTGAGAAAGAAACCATGGACCAATAAGAGAATAACTTAGTACATTTGTTTTCAAGTTAAATAAATACTTACAATTCAATAGATGTAATAGAATAGAGTACACTTTCTACTAATTCTCTAGAACGCCTAACGAATGTTGCTAAAGCACTGATATTTTTATCGCAAACAGGTAAATTTATACCAAATTATTGTTATAGTCATCATCACAAGTAGTAACTTGATAAGAATAAAAATATTGATTGATTGATAAGCTTAATCTTAGTTTCGTACACCTCCATCGACGTCATTCATGTATTTGATGCCTAGAGTTTCATTCGCGGTTTTCCCCATTTTATTTTTAATGGATGGAAAGCAACAGATGTATGGGTTTTAACGTAAGATAAGTAAATATCATCCAGTTCATGGGTTTTTTGTGAAAGAATATTCTTCTTCTTCTTCGTTTTCTTGCTTGCTTTGATGCTGTCGTCATTCTGTTACAAACTTCTTTTTCTGATATCATTGTCCTTAGAGTCAATTCATCTTTTGTTTGTTCGTCCTCTACTCTTCCATCCTTTTGTTCCATCCTCTCGGTTTGCCACATAATATTCTATTATTCTGCTGCTTTAGAACAGGAGGAATTAATTTAAATCTATATTCATGAGTATAATTTTACACAAACAAACAAACAAGCATTGATAAATTAAGATGATAAGAGACTAAATATATCAAATTCGATTACCTACAATGCGATTACTGTATACCTCTAGTAAAACAACGACAAATATTCCAATTCATTGATGAATTGTAATTTTTATTGCTTATTCGACAAATATTCCAATCCATTGATGAATTGTAATTTTTTATTGCTTAATATTTTTCCATGCCATTGCATATTACGTAATGTTAAATATCAAAAATATACAAACATGCAATGCGTTTATTTCCTAAAGGGATACCTGTATATTTTTTTATGGCATAAGCCGGTAAACGAGCAGACGTATTACCTGATAGTAAGCAATCCGCCTCGCCCATGGACACCTGGAACACCAAAGGCGTTACAAGTGCGTTACCGGCCTTTTGGGGATTAGGAGTTTGGGGAAGGGGAGGGTAATTGGGCCTCCGGTAACCTCACTCACATGACGAAACACAACGCAAGCGTTGTTTCACGTCGGTTTTCTGTGAGGTCGTGGTATCACTCCGGTCGCGCCGGCCCATTCGTGACGAAGCATGGCTCTCCCACACTTATAATATGCACATTTTAAATACAACGCGTATGTGAGTACTTACTTATTGGCAAGTTTATATTTATGAGTCTTTTTAATTGACGTGCCCTAGAATAAAACTGTGCAACAAATTTAGAATATACAAATGCATAGTAATGTAGATTTCCTGTTAAGAGTTTCGAAAACTGAAATCGTTGAAGAAATCATTCAGCAAACGACTTTTTTTTGGGACAAGCCCGCCACAACCTCCCAAAACCGCTGCAATTCCTGTAAGCCAGGATCTACAGGAGATACAACCAAGACATCGGAACACTGAAGTCCGGCACGTCCCAGGGACATGAGTAACTGTCTTGGTTCCCACAACGAAGTGAATCAGAAGATATTATAAGAAGAGAAGAAGAAAACTATAGTTTTCACTTCCCTCGATGAATTACTGCAGGAGACAGGATGAATTAAGCCTAAAAGCACAAAAAATACTATGCAACTGGGTGAAGCCCAGTCGCCAAGCACTACGGAAATTTGACTAAAAACAAAGTGGGTCCTATGTGTGAGCTGTTATACTTGCTTCCAGTAATAGGTATGCAATAGAAAGTTCTAGATTCCACAAGGTCCATATAATAAACTGCACCTGACAAAACAGTTAAATTATTTAACGTAGTGTTACGTTCATACTGCCAGAGACCACACTCTTAGAGTATGTGATGGGCCGACTGCTCGTATTGCAACTCCGCTGTCGAACATTGGCACCATGGTGAATCAACAATTTTAAATGAGAACAATTTGCTTTTAAAGTTGCCGTGGCCAGTAAGAAATCGACTTCTTGGCTTCATGCGCTTCGTGTAATTTATCCTTATTGTTTAGGTTCCTCCATAGCAATATTAAGGACCCTGGATTCTACCGATAACTTTCGAACTCGAACAATAGTTATAGAGATGAAGTCACTTTGTACATGAGTATGTGGTCACATTCCACTAGTCATTGTCTCATTAACTCCGAACTACACAGTATTGCGCAATATTATGTATTTACGTTAAAAATGTTTGATATACAAAAACCTGTCGTTAGGCTTTGAAATAAGGATTATTTTGGTAAGTGATGTGTATAATCCAGATTTGTTGGAAATCATACAAAAGTATGTCTTAGAACCTTGAAATAAGGATGATTTTAGAATTATAGGATATGTGTGTAATTACTACAACGTGTTGGTAGGAATTTGATGTGAATTGGTACCTACTGAAGCAGATGGTGTAGTAGTTACTAGTATTTTCTTAATTAGAGAGGCCTTCAATTTTGGGTTGTTATTATACTTCCTAGATAATTACCTATCTTAAGTCTTTGAACGGTATTTAAAAAGGATGATAGTAAAATCGAAATGGAAGTAAATTATTGGACGCAGTATAGAAACACTTTCAACTAATTTGTTAGAGCGAACGTTGCCAAAATACTGACAGGTTTAGTATCGCAAACAGATACATTTATACTGAAGTATTCTTTGAGCTTCATGAAGTCAAAGTCAAAGTCAAAGTCAAAGTCAAAATCATTTATTTCAATTAGGCCAGAATGGCACTTATGAACGTCAAAATAAAAATGATATTAAAAGTGTAGCTATTTGCTCATTCCAAGGTGTAGATTCCTATGGAGAAGAACGAGCAAGAAACTCCATAGGTTACTCTTTTTCAATCAGGATAACAGATAGGACGGTGATTACGGTAAAAATATTGATTGCTTTGTTTAAACTGTCAAACACCAAGCGGTCACCGGTGACCGCAACCTATTGTTCTATAACTGTGTCTATAATGACGGTACTCAACGAGTTAAATATCATTTTATGTCGCCATAAATTGGTTGATTGATGATTACCTATCTTAATTTTGACCACCCAGCACGTCATTCATGTTAGTGTCACCATTCACCAAGTATTTCAGTCGCGGCTTTTGTGTCCACGAAATGTGTGTATGTATGTATGTGTACAACTGCCTCGTTGCCCAAATGGTCGTAGGTCTCGGGTTCGATTCCCGGGTCAAGCAAAGTAGGTATTAGCGAGTTTTAATAAAAAATCTCAGTAGTAGCACGGAGTCTGAAATTGTGCCCGGCTTATGGCAATAGGCTCACCCCTATTACATGGGACTTATAGCATAAATAGTGAAAAGTGGGTGTTACATTGTACAGTGGCATTAAGTGTCGTAATGTGCACTCCTGCCTACCTTCAGGGATAAAAGACGTGATGTTGAGAATTATGTGTACAACTACAAATATCATCAAAATCAGGGTGCTTACTCTTCAAACTAATTTCAATGTCAATTCAATAAAATCTCAACACAATACAATCGCAATCGCAGCTGTTTAAATAGTATTCAGAGTACGGAATATAAAGCGACTTTAATTCCATTTAGTTCATTCAATTTCCACGCAATACGGATGCAATGGGCGCTAGTGTTTTACTCCTAGCTGCATTGTGAAATGAACTTATTTAAAACTTTTAACTTTAATAGTTAAATATTTGCTACCTAGATGGCAGCACTTGTAGATACAAAAAACTCGTTCAATCTCATGCATAAAGTGGAATTAAACATGAAGATTTTGACAAATCCTCTCATGCAGAGGAAACTCATAGTCCAGTGATGGAGTGTCGTAGGCTATAAGCCTGTTGATGATGATAATAACTTCAACTACAACTACATATTGATCAACAGCGCGATATCTGTATCAGGATCGGCTTCAATCTTAGTAAATACTACTATCAGACAGTTATCTACTTGCGTAATGTACATAACGTATCAAAACATCACCCAAGTAAATAATTATGTGATATACTATTGCCTGATTACTTTATTTTCAAGTGAATTTTTTAATAAAGTATTTGTTTCAACATATAATATTTTCATTATTCAAAAATTGTCCGGGACCAGTGTTCGGCAACAGACTTGTCTTCTTCTCTTTTAGAAAACGTAACGTAAAAGTGCGAGTTACATTTTGTATAGGTTTTCTAAAGGGGGAAAATCATCGAATGACTACTTCCGCCTGGGTGAGGCAGGAGGGAGTGTCCGACTGTCACTGGGAAAAACCACTGGATGTGAATAGGCTACTTACGGGACGACATGCCGACATGACAGGCGAGATGGTCCAACGTCGGCCATCCCAAAAGCCCCCCTCCCCCCCCCCCGTACCCTTTTACGTCCTCCGCAGCACGCATTATTTATATATGTAGGTATGCCTCTTCTTGTCCCTAAAGTTCGAGCAACTAAAGGTTGCTGCTGCAGGCTATCTATGTTACTCTGTTTTTAATTCAGATTAAAGGCAAATCATTTTCTTCCAATTAGAGCATTTAAGGCACTTTTTGACGTCAACCTAGTCATCAGTCCGATTCTGTCCACAGCTAGACATCCAGGCTGCTTCTCTAATAGTTTACCACTGAGCTCAGTCGTCGGCACACACATATAGCATCTGTGCATGTATCACATAACAAGCAGATCGATAAACATCACCAATGTGTTCGACATTTTAAAATATTACGGTAATACATTTATTCATCTCCTATATCAGGGCTGTCCAAACCAAGGCGTGCGGGCCGCATGCGGCTCGCGGCTTTTTTCGTGTGGCCCGCGACATCAATACATAGTATAAAACAAAGTCGCTTTCGCTGTATGTCCGTATGTATGCTTAGATCTTTAAAACTACGCAACGGATTTTGATGCGGTTTTTTTTTAATAGATAGAGTGATTCTTAAGGAAGGTTTGTATGTATAATACATGCATATTGCACCCGTGCGAAGCCGGGGCGGGTCGCTAGTGAGAAATAAAAGAATGTTAAAAGTCATTATACAACTGAAAATATTTTTCTGCCCCCCAGTTTTTGTAAGAAATTTAATTAGCCCGCGATGGTATATAGTTTGGACAGCCCTGTTCTATATTATAAAAATGAAATCAGGGAAGGTTTAAAAGGCGAGAAAAAGAAAAAAGTCGTTACGAAGTTTGCCGGGTCAGCTAGAAACAAATAAAAAACAAAAATTAAAATAAATAATTTATTTCGACTTCTGTAATTACATAACAGCTCTATTGTACGCCTAAAGCAGTCTTAGTGATAGACTTACGTGTAACAATACTTAATAACCAATTCACGCACACACATTTTAAATTATAAAAGCGCAATATAAGTCTTAAAATTAGAATTCTGTAGGGCCAAGGGCATCAGCGTATGCCTTGACTTTGGGGATGGAGTATACATGGTCTATAACTCGCTGGAAGGCTGGGTACTTCTTCTCCAAGTCAGGAATTCGCACGATGAACTTCATGGAGTCGAAAAATCCAGCAAAGACGAAATCAGCCCATGTTAACTGTAAAAAAGAAAGGTATAATCAATAAACATGAATTTATCAATCTATACATATAATAAAATCGCAGGAAATTGAATACTGTACGTACATTGAATATTTTTTTGAAAGAATGCTTTGGTCGTGATCTACAGTCGATACCGAAACTATGGTTTTTAGAATTATTGTTTGTTTGTCTGTATGTATGTCCGGGATAAACTCAAAAAGTGATGCATGAATATTACTCTCAGGCCGGGTCAACATATAGACTACTTATTATCATGCTAACTACGGGGGGCGGGCTGTGAATCACTATTCCAAGTCGCGAGCTCAGCTAGTTAATAAATATGAAAATACGTGAGTACATAAAAAGGTCTCAATATTTACAGAAAACTTAGAATATCTTTATAAGAGTTAAAGTAAGCGCACAAAACATTATTTTCTCTTTATGAGATTTTTTTAAGGGGGGAAATTCATCGAATGACTGCTCCCACTCCCGAGGGAGTGTCAGACTCTTGCTGACTAAAAACCACCCCGTTCCTTCTCCTGCACGTCGAGCCGGAGCCCCGGTTACCCGTTAGGTTCTCCGCAACTCCGAAAGGAGCAAACTAGCTGATAGATCACCCCGTTGCTAAGTAGTCAGCGCCGCCCATGTACTCCAACAATACCAGAAATTTTAAAAATGCATTGCCGGTCTTTCGGTAACTTAGGTCCCTACAGATTTAAAGATCTTACCTTTCCGAGAGCATAGTGTCCGTTGTTCTTTTCAATGATGTCGTTGAATCTGTCCAAGTGTTCAGGGAACACATCTTTGCTATATTCCTCATATCTCTGTTCCTTTAATTTCTCATCTTTTTCATAAGTTACTGTTGCAGCCTCTATAAATTGAAAAATGTTTGTGTCAAACTAAATTGTGAAGGAAAATGAAATCAGATAACAGATACTTCTCGTAACAGATTAATTATTAGTAGTTCCTTTTTTTTTAGTTACTAAAATTTATAAATATAAATTTATAAATAAATTTATTACTTAATTATAAAGTTGGTTAACCTATAATTGGCGACTATATTAGCCCAATACCTATTGTTACCTCTATTATTTCTTAATACTATGTATGCAGAAGCTGTTGGTATACCTATTTAATTAATAAATGAATAAATAAAAAAATACTACGAATACAATTTAAATGCGCTGTTCAATTTTTTTAAAGATTGTTGAATCATCTCACGAGCTTATATTTTGTTTCCAAAACAACTGTCAAATCATGCTAAAATGACAAGATTTAAAAATTGTGGAATCATCGTCTCGTTATCGGTATTGGTAAATCAGAAATATATTTTACAAGATCTAGTAAATTTCTTATCAAAACTGAATGACATGTTTTAAAACGTAGGTGTGAGAAAACTTCTGAGTAATGTACATTGGTAATTTGGGTTGTCATGATTTGATAGCAAAGCAAACATAATGAAAATCGGGAAATAGCGGACCAATAGTATTTAAAACAATAGAATCGTGTAAGGAATATCGAACTGTGATACTTACATAACATCACGCCTTTTATCCCCGAAGGGGTAGGCAGAGGTGCACATTATGCCACTGTACAATGTAACACCCACTTTTCACTATTTATGTTATGAGTCCCATTCTGTACCATGTAATAGGGGGTGAGCCTATTCCCATATACCGGGCACAATTCCAGACTCTGTGCTACTACTGAGATTTTTCTTAAAAACCCAGGAATACTTTGCCCGACCCGGAAATCGAACCCGAGAGCCCTTGCTCGCACTTGCGACCACTTGAGGAAGTACTGTGATACTTACTTAGACGAAAATCAACGAGGAGGTCGACGAGCTGGTCGATCTCCAGAGCTTCCTCAGGGGTGTCTCCAGCCAGGCCGTACTTGTTGCCAAGGTAACGGCAGATGGCAATGCTCTGAGCGTACTTCTTGCCATCAATATCGACATTTGGCATTTGTCCAAAAACAGTATCTGGAATTGAAAATGCATTTTTAAATAATTGATTTTCTCATCTCATTCCAAGTGCTTGAAATAAAAAAAGAAGGCAAGTGACACACATAAAGGATAGATAAACTAAGACTACGATAATTGATCTTTTTCAGGTTCTATTACATCTATTTCTATAGTAACCTATGTAGGTCTTAGTAATGTAGGTAGTAATGTAGTTATGTAGGTCTTCTTAACTAAAAATAGTTTTGTAAACTTATCTCCACTCAAAGTGTGTGATTTTTTCTTAGACTGACAAAATCATTCAATACTATTCTTGACTCACGACCTTCTCGCTCCAATGGAACTACTTAATATTCAACGTATAACCAACAGTTTATGAGGAGACGTTCAGTACCGAACGAATATTTCTCACAAGCTGTTGCCCGCGACTTCATCCGCGTAGAATATGATTGCTTTTTTATCCAAAAGGCGCATTTAAATCGAGATATAAAGAATAATCTATCACCTAGTCAGTCTATACCCTGCCTGTATACCAAATTTCATCAAAATCCGTTCAGCAGGGTCAGCATTTTTGACCGACAAAAATTCAAGCAAAGAATCAATCATATTATTTTATAATAATATTAGTGTTATTTGAAGGTTCGAAGCAGGAGTATGAACGACATGGTTTTTAGTCTGTAATACTTAGACGAGAGAAGCCGTATTGGAAATTTCTTCGACTGAAAAAAAAATGGTCCTTTTGCCATAATCCCAACGATTAGTAAGCTTGAGGATCAAACTTACTTTTCTTATATTCTGGCCAGTCCTTGCCAGCGACGCGGTGGTCTTCAAATTCCTCGCCTCCATAAGCCAGCAGCAAACGGATGGGCTCGCCCAATCCCTTTCCGTTGAAATAGTGGACCACGTACTTCGGCATGATTGTTTAATCTGGAACTAACAATGCAAAAAGAAATGTTATTTCAATTTTTTTTTCATTAACAATAAACTACATAGTTTCAGTGTCAGTGTATCCCGAAAAGTTACGCTTATGTTTTGGGGTGCCAGTTGAAAAGAAAAATAAACTACGTCTAAAAAATCCGACTTCAACTCCCCCTTATTTTGAAGTCGGTTATTTAATATGAAAATAAATAAATAAAAGTAAATAAAACCTTTTATTTCTTGCATTAGAATGATACGCAGTTTAAAATGTTATAGGAAATATAAAAGTGAAAAAATTAAAATTTTAGTGTTTGCATCCTTTGTAAAATGAACAAAAAGTTGTCTGCAAGAACCCCTCCTCATGTGAAGGTAAAGGCCTCCTCTAAAGAATTGCAATTGTTAAATATTTTTGCAGATGGTTGGATTTTTTTTTATTCTTTAACGAGTTTTGGTCCTGATCTTATACGGTGACCAGCCGGGTTGGAAGATGAGTTTTGGTTATTATTATTGCTTTGTACTTGTTAAATTTGCCGGTTATTTAATATACTAAATAAATCTTAAGTGTAAAACAGTTTTCTAAAAACCGCATCGGAAAATCGATTCAGCCAATCACGGGATAGTTGCACACAAACATAAAAAAGGCACCTTCTTTTTTCCAAGTCGATTAAAAATTGTATCGTGCGCACATTAAAAATATTGAGAATTTGTTCTAAGTAAATAAATTGAATACTGTGCTCTCGATAAAGTCGGTGGTTGTTATAGTCGGAAAATTATATTTCAAGCAGTAATTAAATTATTTATGTATGTTCTTAACATATCAACTTTGAACTTTTAATGCTTTAAACAATTCATATTTTAAAACTAGCTAATTCCAAATTCAAGAACACTGAATAAACGATAGTATGAACCGAAAACAGTTACAAAAAACTCTAATTAGACTTAAAATGGAAATTTATTTACTTAGAAATAAAATCGAACATTCGATTTTCCCCATGCAAATAAATTATTCAAAGCGTATAAATAATTCCATAGAACCGAAGCTTTGTATCGATTATCTACCAAAAGTGTACACAACACCACCCGCTTATACCAATATGTTTACATACACACTTTATTTTTGGACTAAAGTTAACACAGCGTACGACAGCTAACAAGACCTAAACAAATTGATAGAACCGAAAAAATACAAAATCGAGGACACAATAAAAATTCTTCTGTAGTTACTAGCAAATACAGTCTTAATTTCAACAACAATGAATAAACAAAATGGTGAATAGGACTTACTTCTTAGGGACCTGTAACTGACTGCACGACCGAGTTAATACTGATGCGCTAACGACCGACTACCGGTAGATATATCCTTCTAATCAAGCATAGCACATCACCAACGATGTTCAACCGATTGATAACTCTATCTGAATTTACACAACAGAGATAGCCCACGTGTACCAAGAGTTTTTACAAATCCTATAATAGTAAATTTTGCGTGTCACGCTTAGTGTCATATTGTAAAGATCATTATCTTCATACTAAAAGTACAGGTGGTAGTGAAAGCGACTCTTTTTGCCGGTATTATTGTTGTTCTTACTGAATTATGTTTACTTGTAACGATTCCTTCATCAAAACTACCACTACCATGCTGTGTTTCATGTAAATAATTAGGTTCATTTTATCTTAATAATCCTTTGCCAAATTAATGTGAAAAGAAGATGTTGTATCGGAGAAAAACACTTGGGATGAAGACAAAAAGAAGAAGGAATAGCATTAAGTCTAAGAATAAACACTAAACCTGACTGCTTAAAAAGGCAAAAAACAAAAAGTAATGGTTGCTTATCTAGCAATTCGAGACGTAAAGCGAGTTAAAAATATTCGCGTTATTCAACGATACGGACCATGACACGGACAAATGTATAACATAACACAACTAACACTCGAACGTGTAGATAATATAGAAATATAGAAGCCACATAATATCAATGACTAGGCAAAAAGTTGTTGTGTACAGAATTGTGCCAGTCAGTCATTATATCGCACCATTACTGATAACATTTGTATTATTTATTTATCAATCGATTGCATTCAATGAATTTTTTATGGAATAAACCACGTATACCATCAGACGGATCACTTGATGATGGTAATCGGCGCCGCCATCGACATTCGCAACACCAGAGGCGTTACAAGTGTTATCGTTATTTACCGGTCTTTTGGTGATAACGAATTTGAGGATTGTTATGGGAATATTGGGGACGAGAGAAATTGGGCTCCGGTAACTTCACTCACACGACGAAACACAACGCAAGTGTTGTTTCACGTCAGTTTTCTGTGAGGCCGTGGTATCACTCCGGTCGAGCCGGCCCATTCGTATAGTAATACTGTGTGCTTGTGGGATCATTTAATGACTTTTATTTTTTATGACTACTCATGCCATTTTTCACTTATCGGTACGGTACTTTTCCGTACCAATAAGCATTTTAGGTTTAAAATTGATGTTCAATGCCACACAAGACCTCTTTGTCAGGATGCTACTATCACAATTGTTTCGATTATGCATGCGTTACATACAACCATACTACTTCAAGTTATACCTACTTTATTGGGGGAACTGACCCAGAGACTTTCATCATATACTACAAATTCTCTGCAATAGTCCCATTTACTATACTCGTCCTTGAAGATATTTTGAGAAAATAGCAAATCAGGACATGCCAAAAATCAGAATTTTCATTATGACAAATGTGGTACTTAACCCATCGTGTGTCTAAACGTGGATCCACGCGAGACACAATGAATTTTCTATTGTCTCATATACAGGCATTCAAGCGGTTAATCAAATAAAATGGGGTGGATAGGAATCGAAAGGTGAATAGAGACAAAAGAGGAGTGATAAGATATTGGGAAATTCTTCATAGTATCGATTCACCCCTCTTCTATCTCTTCTATCTCTACTCACCTCTCGATCCCCATTCACCCCATTTTACCGTACTTCAGGTAGGAAGGTAATATAAAACGAAATGAAGAAACCATTCAATTCTTAGTTATTTATTTAAAAATAATATACGAGTGCTTAAACTATAACGTAAACATTACAACAATCGGAACCATGCTGCACACAGATCGTAATCAATACATTGTACCGAATTATAACAAGACCCTGTCTCTTTCTCTATAACTCAAATCTTGGTACATAATATTCTTCAGATAGTGCAATTCAAAACAAATTCACACTAACAAACAGCCATCGAATAAAATGCAATCTCTTTAGTCTTAAAATTAGAATTCCGTAGGTCCTACAGCATCAGCGTAGGTCTTGACCTTGGGAATGGAGTACACGGCGTCTACGACCTTCTGGAATGCTGGGTATTTCTTCTCCAGGTCAGGTACAGCCAACAAGTGCTTGATGTAGTCGAACATACCAGCGAAGACAAAGTCTCCCCAAGACAGCTAAAACAGAAAAAGGTGATAAATATGCGTGAACAACTGACCAACTGTGAAAAGTGATAAATATGTTCTGGTGCATTTTGCTCAAAGATAATTCGAATATTTCGTCTACTTCATATTCAAAAATAGACTGTCTTTTATAACTTCATTGTAGGTTTAAACAACCGCAATGGTGAGTGCCATCGAATCGCTAAACGAGACTAATAAAGACTAATTTACGTCAGTAGTAGGTGCGCCTCTCTGACTTCTATCAAGCACAGGAGTGCCAGTTAATTAACAAGTAATCTATTTTTACCTTTCCAATGGCGATGTGGCCGTTGTTCTTAATGATGATTTCGTTTAACTTTTCCAGCATGTTGGGGAACACATCCTTGTTGAATTCAGCGTACTTCTTCTCCTTCACAGCCTCGTCCTTTTCGTAGGATGCAATTGCAGCCTCTATAAAAAATATTATAAACATACCTTTAGATATATCAAGGTGATAACTTGTTGCGTGGTCCCAAAATAACTTTAAGTGACTATATTGTCGAATTAGAAAATCAATATTTATTACTAGCTGTCGTGTTTAGAAAGGTTTTTAATAGTGACTTTTCTTCTTTTGAGCTGTACAAATAGTTTCAACTAGTCACACTCACTAGCACGGAGGTCATTGATGAGGTCGACGTTCTGGTCGATCTCTAGAGCATCCTCGAGGGACTCTCCCGCCAGACCGTACTTCTTGCCGAGGTAGCGAGCGATTGATAGACTCTGGGCGTACTGCTTGCCTTCAAACTCCAGGAGTGGCATCTGGCCGAAGGGGGTCTCTGGAAAAGTAATCAGCATTATTGTAAGACTTACTTAAAAGTACCTTTTTAGATGAAATTGAAACAATTCTTCTAACTTCAGCACTAACTCTTTCGCTGGATGGACATTGAACATGGTTTCACAGTGTTAATCTGAAACTATTATGCTACTCAAATCTCTTTACAAATTAAAGAATTTTTGGTCATTTGGTCGGCCCTTAGCGATAGGTCACAATTTTTAATACGTTTTGACCATCATAATATACCTATTTAACACAACCCATTGATAAATACTAAATTTATACAAATTGATAATTAATCACAATTTCCATACGTGATTGATTAGGTAAACTCCGTAAAACATGCCTAATTCATATTATATACAATGTACATGGTTAAGCCATTTATCAAGAGTCTATTGAAAAGTTTTATCTTATCATATGTTGTGTGACAACCGCATGAATACATGAAAATCAGGTGAAACTTATCAAGTAAGTGACAAACAAATAGATTTTACTTTCTTATCTTTTTGTTATCATTTGTAGTTACCACATGAGGAGAAAAAACTGCGGGTCTAGCATGAGTGCTTGTGAATTTTTTTACGAGTATTTAAATTATGTATTATCTGATTTTTTGTTGCTATGTTTGTCCGTGTTGGATTCTATACACAACTGATTTTAAAGATGAATTAAAGTCGACATATCACCTAAGGTTTATGCAGGGACTCGCTCAAAAATGGCATAACTATTAATTTATTTATTTGTCAAGTCGATATAAAAAAACCAGTAAAAAACTACAAAAACTCACCACAATGACATAAATTGTCATTTTTAAACGAAGTCCTTACATGAACATCACGAAAAAGGTCTAGAAAAATTCCAACACTTATTTACTTACTTGGCTTAAAGTCGGGCCAGTCCTTGAAGGCTACTCGGTGGTCTTCAAAACCTTCATCACCGAAAGCCAGGAGCAGACGCACTGGCTCGCCCAAACCCTTGCCATCAAAGTAGTGAAATACGTATTTCGGCATGTTTCTGAAAAATAATTCCTAAATTGAAACACTTATCACTAACACCAAACTAACTTCAAACATTTCAAAGAAACTTCTAGAAAATTCGACGCCTATTTTCATGGATATCTTCAAAAGTAATCAACCATAGGACTTTACATAAAAGTTATAGAAAGAAAATCAATCAATTAAAATTCAATAGATGCGGACAAAACTGTTCAACAATGAATAAAATTCATATGCGGTTGGCAAACGAGATTATATTTAGCCCAGACTGTTTTGTATTGAAAAAAATCAAGCCTTTTGGAAACAACGTTGCAGTTAATGCATTGGGAATAAAATAAAGATATAGAAGCTTAAAAATATCTATTTGCCTTAGTTACTTAGTACAAAATAGAGAGTTTGGAAAAGTAAACCGGTACTTACAACTGGTTTTTCGAGTCTGTGGTGTTACCGGCTTGGTGAGCAAACTAACACTGGTGGGATTATACGCCGGCCGGTAGATATATACGTTTATGTATGGAAACAGTCGCTTGGAACTTGTCAACAGAACACCTCGACGATGTGTAGGTACCTACTATTGATAAAGTTTATAATATCTTCTAATCTCTTGCTCAATACCTCGTAACTTCAATAGTAACGGTAACCATGCACAACAAAACTATGGTCTATTTATAGACACTTTAACCTACTTTAAACGTAAATTAAATACGATACTTGTATTGTAAGTAAGTAATATTATGTTATTTTTTCCGAAATATTAAAAAAAACGGATGCTTTTTTAAGATAAGAATCTATGACAATGACATCATCGAATGTTATTTGAACGTCAAATAATAATTTGTTTTTTTCTTTTTTTCTTTCGATAAAAATCAGAAAAGAGGTGTTGACATAATGAGAACTTGTTGTATTTGTATACCTATTACCCAATTTGACCCAATTTTCTAAGACTTTTGATAGTTACGTTTTTATCAAGGACCTGTTTTATAGAAGTTAAATATTATAAACTTTAAAATACCTTTGGCACTATAAGGTATATATATTCAACTATAAAAGTATAACTATGCACACAACATTAAGTGCCTTACAACCGTTAAATTTAAAAAAAAAACAATTAAAAAAAAATAACAGACAAAACTTATCGCATTGTAAATATTTCCGTCGTATTTTTTCGATATGAGAATGAGACAATGCACAAAGTTTTCAGTTATTTCATCATACTTCCCATATTTAAGCATGTAATCACGTATGAATCAAACTGCAGATTAAAATTATATTGCAAAAACGACAAATTAGCATCATAAGTCGGTAGTATTCTTGAAAAAACAAAACCATGTAACTAATAGAGAATTGTATTGTGAACCTGATTGAAAAAGAGTAACCTATGAGTTTCTTGCTCGTTCTCCATAGGAATCTACACCTTGGAATGAGCAATAGCTTCAGTTTTGATTTTTGTCGACGTTCAAAAGTGCCTTTCTGGTCTGAAATAAATGATTTTAACTCCGACTTTGATACTAATGTCTCTTACTAAAATTATTAAAAGGGAAGATTGGAATATTTGTTTGTTTGCATTGTATATGTTCTAAAACTACCAGACCGATTAGGACCGATGAGGTAATCCGGTAAACGAGTTGATTATCCCCTGGATCACATGATGATAAGGAAACGGCGTCGCCCATGGACACCCGGAACACCAGAGGCGTTACAAGTACATTACCGGCCTTTTGGGGATTAGGAAATTAGAATTGATAAAAAATTGGTGACATTGGGGGGGGCGGGGGTTATTGGGCCTCCGTTAACCTCACTCACACGATGAAATACAACGCAGGCATTGTTTCACGTTGTTTTTCTGTGAGGCTGTGGTATTACTCAGGTCGAGCCGGCCCATTCGTGCCGAAACATGGCACTCCCATACTTAAAAACTACTTTCCCTAGTTCCAAATAGATTGTTGAATAGACGTGAAATTAATTCCATAGGTACGAATACATAGTGATTGAACTATAACCATTGTGTTAGGTAAACGCATTAGCTGAATAAATACCGGGACGAACCTACAAAACCAAACACAGACAGTAATATTTTTTCATTGCTTGTACAATAATAATGTTGTATGTTATCGTCACATGACAACTGTCTAGACAGGGTTTTTGTACAAGTAATGATAAAATAATATGTGTAGGCAGGTACTTATACTGCCATCAGACAAACTGCATTGTAGCTACCGGACTTAGTCATAATATTCAAGCCATGTAGTTGAATATGTCGACTGGAGTTGGCTGCGGTCGTCGAAAGGGTGGAAGAGCCATGTTTGGGCACGGCTATACCGGCTAGACTGCCTCGCAGAAATTCGGCGTGAAACAGCCCTTGAGTTGTGTTTCGTCTCATAAGTGAGGTTACTGGAATACCAATTCCTCTCCTCCCCGATCTTTTATCTTTTTTGCAGTTACTCATATCCCTAACCCCCAAAAGGCTGAAGTTGCGAGTGCCCATGCGGCGCCAATTGCTTACCATCAAGTGTCTCTGCCAATTTACCCTCATAGATTAAAAAAAAATAAGAAAAACTTTTTAAAAACTGCTTTTATTATTTTTTTATTCAAGGGCTTTTATTATTCAAGGGTCAAGTTTTCCAAAAACAAAAATTTTTGAATAAGGAATAACTTTGAATATTTTTAAAATTTTCCATGCTAAAAAGTGTCAAATATAAATTAGATTCTACAGTTAGGAATTAACTGATTGAAAAATCGGCCCTAAGCCTGTTTAGAAACCCGAGCGTACTCAAAGAGCCATCAGACCACCACGGATGGGGCGGCCCCAATTATTGGGGCCCAATAGGGCTGATGCCGACACGGAGTCGCGGAGAACCTAACGGGTTACCGGGGCTCCGGCTCGAAGTGCAAGAGTAGGAACGGGGTGGTTTTTAGTCAGGAAGAGACTGACACTCCCTCCCGCCTCACCCAGGCGGGAGAAGCCATTCGATGATTTTTCCTCCCTTAAAAAAAACCTGATTAGAAAAAAGAAGTGTTAAAGGAAAGGATGTTACATTTTGATTTCAAAATAAGAATAACGATGGTTATCTCTAATATTGCATCACAATGCCCCTTTTTAATTTTATTTTTCCCACTTACATAAAAAAATACATAATTATGAGAAAAGTCAAAGCTCGTCTCATAATAATATGACTCAGGACATGACTGGCAAAAAGTAAGAATAACTCTGTATAGCTACTGTTGTCAGTAGCTATAATACTGTGTCTAAAGTTATGGTGTATGAGTCATCGGAATCACACATTGATGACGTTATAAAGTTTATATCAATTGACAATAATAGACCTGTTTAAATAAATTGTTGAACACGTGGTTACAGGTCAATCGCAGTCGATAAAGTATGCATGGCCTAAGTCAGTAGGTAGTATTTTTTTATTAAAATCGTTGACAACGTTGCGTGTCATTCACCGCCCACGCAGCTCAACAGTCCAGAGTTACGTGTGCCGCGGAGAACTTAACGGGTTACTGGGGCTCCGGCTCGAAGTGCAAGGGTAGGAACGGGGTGGTTTTTAGTCAGTAAGAGTCTGACACTCTCTCCCGCCTCACCCAGGTGGGAGAAGTCATTCGATGATTTTCACCGAAAAAAAAAGAATTACGCGTTCGGCACTCTGATTGGCTGGCTCCAATGAAACAACCAATGAGCGCCGAACGCGGTCTCGTTTTGATTACTTTAAACGTAAAACACATACTAAGGCCTCTGATGTGGCTTGAAATTAGTTGAGCTTTTGGACAATTTTATTTATTTAAGTATCTTAATCAATTTTAATTAATCTAACTTAGTTTAGATCTGTGACTGTGTATGATGTTAACCATACCATGGGTAACAAATGACCTACTCTTTTAACATAATTAAGAAAATTCACCATCACCACATGCGCTTTACCTTTACCTTTTTTTTGTATTGGTAGTCAGTTAAATGAAGTACCAAACTGGCCTAGTTCGTTTTTGAGGCAAGTTGAAAAACTAATTCAACTACTAAATAAAAAATATTTATCCGAATAATGCATGATTGCATGATACTCCATGCATGGTGTAGCAGTGATGGGATCTAATAATTACGTCTACTTATACAATGCTTCGTTCACGGTCACTGACGGTCGGTGACCGCATGCCCGTCTCGTCTATACATATTCATGTACACACCCTAGTGGGTGTGTATATCGTGCAATGTAAAATCGTCAGCAGTTTAGTAACTGCTGACGATTTTACATTGCACTTGGATTGCTTCTTTATTTTGTAAATCTAACGACACAACTGTATTCTTTACGATGTCCTATAAAATAAAATTAATGGCCTGAACCTATTATAGGTCTGTTATGAATTTGATTGTGAGAAGAAAAGTAAATAAGTACACATACAAAAATTTTAAATAACATTTATTTATCATTTAAACACATCCTTACAATCTAAAAATTACAGAAAAATATCAATAACATATTGACGGATGTAGATATTATCTCTATTCATAATGTATAAGATAAATATATTCGACATGCATTCGAGATTCGTCAAACGTATAGTTTCAAAATAGACTCTCTATATTTTGTACGTGTTGTTTCAGGAATTTAAATTTAGAAGTCGGTGGGGGGCGCGGCGTCTGCATACGCCTTGACTTTAGGAATGGAGTACACGTTGTCTATCACCTGCTGGAACACTGGGTACTTCTTCTCCAAGTCAGGCATACGCAGCATCACCTTCAGGTAGTCAAACATGCCCGCGAACACGAAATCTCCCCAGGTCAACTGTAAGAAAGATAATTATTATGTTTAAAAGTTCCTTCCTGCGTATCAGCTATAAAATGTCCCATCCGAGAAAAAATATGCATCATCTCATTAGATGATGCATATTAGATCAAAAATCCCTATACGATCACACCATTGCATTAATAACTCATTAATGGCACAGACACATAATCCTCCAGTTTATGCCTTTATCCTCGTTAGAAGTCCTAGATCTGCTATTCCACAGAAGGACATATAGCCACCTACTCACATCAGACTTTCGGTTATTATTCCATGACGATATTGCTCAAATCGTCTTAATCTCATAATCCACGTCGTCATGCCTTAGCACCATAACTATGACGTCATCTAAGTTGGATAGGATTAGTTTTTGTTAACTACAGCTGATTAGTCAAGAGGTTGTTCCATGATGACAGCACAATGTATGTACACTGTACTAGAAGTCAAATATTTGTGTACCGTAATGAACTAGGTGGAACAGGTCAATTGGATCGTTCATCTAAAAGTCAAAATAAAACGAATCTATCTTTAAGTTATAAACTTCTCAAAAACAACAACTATTCATAATTAATATGTCCGTAATCCATGTAAATAGACCTGCATAATTAAGAAGAATAATACATAAAGAAAAGGTCGTAAAATGAACTGAGTCAACGAACATTACATAATTTTGTCACCATCAAAACAATTTGAGTCCAGAATTATTCTTAACACTGTCATAATTTTCGGAACGCAGTAGGAGTTTAGGTTTATACTTAGTATTTTTTTTTACCTTTCCTAAAGCAACATGGCCGTTGTTCTTGACAAAAATAGCGTTCAATTTCTCTAAAAGGTCTGGGAATACGTTCTTAACGAAGTCAGCGTATTTAGCTTCCTTCACAGCCTCATCAGGTTCATACTGTACTACTGCAGCCTCTGTAAATAGAAACAGAATTAAATATGGCACTTAAATCTTCAACGAAATAACTCGACCAGTTTCAAGCCACGTTTGGAGTTCATAGTGATAAGCAACATTATGCGACAAACAAGATGGCGAAGGTCGCAAGCGAGCCGAATATTAAAGAAACAAAATCGTTGGTAGACTTGCATAATATTGCGTAATATTTCAACATGAAAACCCAACATTGGACAAAAATAGATTTTATTTTTCATTTTTATCTTTACGTTGGTCTTACGATATTTCCATCGTTGGGGATCTTAGTAATTAAGTATCCTATTTTTAAGAGCATTGTCATGTAATTTATTAGAGATATTAATTACACGAAAACGATATTGTTAGATTATTATCATGACGAAACTAGTCATTGTTCATTTCTAGATAGTCTCACTCATTGGTCTTAACTCAATACCTTCCAAAACATATTTGACACCAACAAAAATATAATAATTATGGTACACATTTTAGCTCCAAAACGGTACTCACTTGCACGCAGATCATTAATGAGGTCCACGTTCTGGTCGATCTCCAGAGCATCCTCGAAGGAGTCTCCAGCGACTCCGTACTTGTTACCGAGGTACCGGCTGATGGCCAAGCTTTGAGCGTACTCCTTGCCGTCAATCACCAGAACTGGCATCTGACCAAATGGGGTCTCTGAAAAAAGTAATGTTGTTAGCTTTTGTAGACTGAATTGCTATGTTTGTGAACCATGTTCTATAAGGAGTAAGACCACGTAATATCCACTATGGACTACGGTATATAGTTGGAAAAACGTTGACCTGCCTGAATCAGTTATATTAATTTTAGTAACGCACTCTAAAGGTTTCATCTAATACTTTAAAGGGACTTGCTTCCTAAGACCATTAAAAGCGTATTTTAAATCTATCACCAACAAAATTTTTTTCATAAAAAAATCGTTATCTATATTTATAAGTCCCACGTTGGGCATCAGTTGTTCAGGAAAACAGTCGCATTAAATAACGAGATAGCAACCATTTAAAATCGAGTGTTATTCTGACATACATACATACATAGTTACATAAACTGCCGCGGCCAAGGTCGGACTGTGAGCCGAAACGAATCATTATCAAACATGTTTTTATAGGTATGCGCGCAATGAGAAGAGAAGCGGATAAGGACTAGACGCGGCCGCGGGCGCGATTTAAGGATAAGGTACTCCAGATTCCAAAAAGACACAGATTTTTCAACCCTTCTTCAATAATTTACCATAAGATGAATAAACAGAAGTTTGCAAAGTTAAAAAGTAAATAATAATATTTACATCAGATAGTGTTTTTACCATTTGTAGCCGAAACAAAGCAATATGAGAACGTGAGTGCAAACCTGATAAACCGAGCTCAATGAACACAAAAGCAATACACAATCATTCATATCTCTTCATACACCCGCTTCCGCTTGACAATGTATACTAGATCTAATGACCTTGACGGGAGTGACTGTGCAAATATTGTGTGAAGAGACGCTCAGACTCAATTGGTCGCACAGTGACGTCACAGAATGGGAAGAGGGACTATTGTATGATTGAACACACAGCTACATATCCAGTTTAAAATGATCCCTGAATGCGCAGAAAGGTCATACACAGCGAGACTAGTGTAAAGTGGATTTGTTAAGCTTGATGTGTGCTGTGTATATTTTATTCAACCTGCATGCATTTACTGAACAATTTCAACCAATTTGTTGCCATTCATTCTATGAGCCTGTAGGTGTATTGTATGAGACTATTGTTGTATTTGATTGGTTTGATCTATAAAAGTAATTTGTGCCTGTGCAAAAATATTCTAAAACTGTACAGATTCTTCGGAAAAAAAAGCGGATCTAATTGGAATAATCACTTTAGTGTATAAACAGGAACAGAGTTATACTAGGAGTATTTTGATGCAATTAAAATTATTTATTTTTCCCGCAACAAAAACCGATTGCGTACCATCAGGATCACCTGATGATTCTAATGTACGCAATCGGCGTCGCCCATGGACACCCGGAACACCAGGGGCGTTACTAGTTCATTACTCTACCATACTTGTAGCACTATTTCAGGATATAGTACGAATACTTCAGGACACATAACAAAAATATTACTAGAAATATAGTATAGCTTTTAAAAGACGGATTTGTTTTGACACCCACTTTGTGGCAGCTATATTATTTAAGTATGTATTTACAGTGGGCGATCTTATTCTCATTACATACCGAATAAACAAAAAATACTAAATTCTTGAGAACTGCTTATGAACAGATGGCAATTTAACAAGCTAATCCGGACGTATAAACATTTTTAATTCATTTTCAACCTTATTGCACACTGAAATTATCTGAAGAAACCTTAGGTATTGTAAGTATTCTTTAATGAATCGATTTTTAACCTTATTACACATAGACATTGTATAAAATCTATTACATGCATATAGATAGCTTGATGTGCTTGTGTCTACACCTTTAGATTAGATAAATAAGTGTGTGAAAGGTCTAGGAATCGAACTAGACCTTCTCAAAATTATTATAAAACACAAACCACGTCAGTACAACGATGATACTATTTTTGTTATACGCGTGACCTTGTCTATCAATTGTTATCAACTACCCATTTAGGTATAAATACGTGTTCTTCTAATCAATAACAAAATGTTATATATGTTCACGGGTTTTGTATCTTTTTAATACTATTTATTCTATAGTCCATTCCTATTGGTCGAGATCGTAGCATGACATACACATATACACATGTCCTCACGCCTGTCTCCCATATGGGTAGGCAGAGACTATGGAATGTAAATACGACATAATAATATTATCAGTTTTGCTCGATAAATGGACATTTCTTTTTCTATTTGAACTAGTAGTTCTTATATGCGTACGAAATGCTGTTAGAAAGGTAACCTTAATTTAGGAAGACCTCTTTTCTCTGAAAATGATGATGGAGTCTCTAACCGAGTAACCGACCACACAGTCATAGTATGCTACAAGTTATGTCTAAAACTAGATTTGCAATGCTCTTAAAATTAGTTACCACTTATTTATGAAATTACACACCTCATAGAATTTGATTTATGAAATTAAACACCTCATAGAATTTGATTTATGAAATTAAACACCTCATAGAATTAGATTTATGAAATTAAAAACCTTTGACTCGTACCTACATATATTGACTGATTGTGAATTTCAATAATACTTACAATGGTTGAGACATACCCAACATTTGCATGCCCAATGGGTAGAACAAAGAGATATAATATGTAACAAAAATAAATAACACCTTAGTCACTAATTATGTACTACACCTCTGTTCAGCAAATAAAGACATTTGATTTGATTTGATTTGGAAAAAAAGGAATATTTTAAGATAATAAGTTAAGATAATAAATAATACCTACCCCTAAAAATTACCCAAAAAAAATTTGCAGAAAAAGTAAACTATTAAGTCAAAAAGCCGTACAGGAAAACTCAAGATATTTCGTCAAAATCCAAAATGTAACATATTTCGATAATAATTCTAGTGTTGACATTGTAAAGATATAAAAAATGAACTGTTTTTTTTACTGTTGTCACCCGAGATAACGAGAACGTCAATCGTACGATATTTTTTATACGTGCCTATGTGAAATCATATATGTATACAATGTCAATGACTCATATACATATAAAATATCAATGCATTTATGTACATATATGCATGAATGTTTATCGAAATTTTGACGAATTCCTCGAAACTACTTACCTATAATATGTAGATATATATTGTGAAATCATTCACCTTAATATCCTGGATAAACGATCATACTTATCTTTCCTAATCAGATATTACTTTTTGTTCTAGAATTTTCCTAACACGCCTACTTTTCTCTCTGAATTGTGAAATGGTCTCATCAACGACCTCACAACCCAGTGTGGTCGTTAGGGTTCAATGGTTCATGCAGTATTAGTTATTGTTACTACTGTTTAGATTACTAATAATCGCCTGCCTCGTTGGCCGAGTGGTCGCAAGTGCCCGACTCGAGACCCTTGTCTCTGTCATATTGCTCTATTACATCTTCAACTTTATTGTATTGCCAAAAAGTCGAAAATACAACGACAGATTGGACTACATTGATTTGCTAGCCACTGTCCCTAGTATAGGGAACAAAGACGATACAATAAACTCTAATTACGACGACTATTTTGGCCCCTACCTATTATATTATGAACTGAAGGACAATTACGGGACATATTATAAAAATAGAACTTCTTTATAATACCAACACCCACAGTTAATTGGTGCAATAGTTCTAATATAAACAATATGACGGTCTGCACCCACATCTCGTCAATTTATCTAATTGGAAGGTGACGTTGCTGTGTTACCATGGAAAGCACTCGAAAGGCTAACTTAGTTCAATGGAAATAGTAAAAGACAACACTATTTAACTAATAATTAGCATCCAAAAGTCGACAGCAACATGTTTATAGTGATATTGTGTATGGTGTAATAGGATACACATAACATATAACATCACGTCTTTTATCCCTGATGGGGTAGGCAGAGGTGCACATTACGGTACTTAATGCCACTGTACAATATAACACCCACTTTTCACTTATTTATGTTATGAGTCCCAACGTAATAGAGGGTGAGCCTATTGCCATAATATGTAGTCTCCGAGTTACCACTGAGACTTTATTTAAAAAACCCTGTAGTACTTTGCCCGACCCGGGAATCGAACCCGAGACCCTTTGCCTGGCAGTCGCACTTATGACCACTCTGCCAACGAGGCAGATTTAATAGTATACCCATCTTATAAAAGTCCAAAAAACAGCCAGCCGCTTCACCGGGGCGCAAGTGTAATTATGAGTCCCGATGTACCTCGAATTTAATAGGGCATCCCTCGAAACAATTCATGATTGTAAGAAAGCTATAAAACATTACTTATGATTTTGTAGGTAAAGATTAAACCCAAAGACTCAAACCTATTACATATCAGTCTTTATATGAGCTTTAAAACAACGAACCATTATGAGAGATAACAGAAAAATAGTAACATAAAAGTCTTTCTCAACTGAATGCGGTTGACCCGTAGGACCAAGTCTTATCATTGAAGAGCTAAATGATAACTTTCAAACATGAACATCTTTCATTGATACTTTCATAAAAGCATTATGCCGAAATAAGGATGTTGATACACCGGCTTGATAACCTAAACTTACCACAATAGTGGCTTGTTGTCTCACTCTTTCACAGCATTCAGCCATTCTTTGTCTTTGCCTTTCATTTAGGTTGTTTTGTAAACTCTCAGTAGTATAATTGTGAGAAAGTTACTGTTCTGTCTATACCTCCTAATGCAGGGTAGGTATATAGTCACGGTGTACCCGGAGTTATACCGAGATAGAGGGCAAACGTTGGCCCATCAAATATTAAAAAAAACAAGTTACGGACTATAATGAACAGTTACTGTGGCAGGGTCTGGAAGCAGGATTAAGAACGAAGTGGTTTTTAGTTAGTCGCACGCTCTCACTACGGCGCGTCGCGTTCCGCACGCGCCTTAAAGAGCCATCAGTCCACCACGGATGGGCCATAGGGCTGATGCCGATACGGAGCCGCGGAGAACCTAACGGGTTACCGGGGCTCCGACTCGAAGTGCAGGAGTAGGAACGGGGTGGTTTTTAGTCAGTAAGAGTCTGACACTCCCTTCCGCCTCACCCAGGCGGGAGCAGTCATTCGATGACTTTCCCCCCTTAAAAAAAGCCGGAGAAGTTGTTCGTTCGTCCAGCCAGCCATATTAGAATACAGATAAGAAAATATAGATAAATAGTGACAGTAACTATAAATAGAGCTACGTAATATTAAATGTGCTTGTTCGAAAAACCATGTATTTTATGACCATTTTGCTTAATTCAATGGCCAACTGAGTTAATATTAATTTTCTTATTTCTATATCGTACTAAATAACTTGGGTGTCTGTAAATGAGTTTTTCCTTTATTTTGAGATAAAATAGTTCTTATGAGCTGTTAACACATGCCTATTATCTAATGGTATTATTCCGTCCCACGAGGGTAGGCAAAAACTATTAAAAACTATAATATACCCTACGTAATATTAATTAAACAATTCCTGTGAGCTTTGGAAAACAATAGAAGTGTTATCGTCTTGAAAATCCGTGAAAATAAACATTCAGCGAACGATATGGTGACCTACTTTGTACGTATAACATTACTAATACACCTACAGTATGTCTAATAGAGACACACACATACACACGCACGCACACACATACATACACAAACTCACACATAAGGTCGTTCGTCCCCACTGTCCCTAGCGAGACAAGGGAGCAAAAGGATCATGCCCGACAGCCATTAGCGTCGTCCATCATCATCATATCAACCACAAGACGTCCACTGCTGAACATAGGCCTCCCCAATGACTTCCGTCGCCTGTGAACACTCACAATACCAGGGGAGTTACAATTGTCAAACACTACTTTCTCACACAGCAAAACAAAATGCAAGCGGTGTTTCACGCCGGATTTCATATCAGGGTTATATTTCACCGGGATCATGAGTGCACAACCAGTCGCGCCGCCATGGTGTCCGGTAAGCTATAAAACACCACACAGACACCAAAGTCACCACACTACACTGAGACAGTATCAAAATATACCGTATGAACTGGCCGCGCAGATTGGTTGCGGAACCAAGTGGACACCAGGTGAGTAACTCTCTATAGCCGCATTTTTTTGGTGGCGGCGACTGGTTGCACCACCATGGTGCCCCGGTGAAATATATCCCCTTACGCCTTATCTTTCCGGGACACTCAAGTCTAAGCATGACAGGTAAGTGTTTAGATTTAGAATATCGCTAGTTCTAGACACATTACATTACATAACATCACGCCTTTTATCCCCGAAGGGGTAGGCAGAGGTGCACACAGAAGTAACACCCACTTTTCACTATTTATGTTATGAGTACCATGTAATAGGGGGTAAGCCTCTTGCCATATACCGGGCACATTTCCAGACTCCGTGCTACTACTGCGATTTTTTTTAAAAGCCCAGTAATACTTCGCCTGACCCGGGAACCGAACCCGAGGCCCGGCAGTCGCACTTATGACCACTCGGCCGACGAGGCAGTCTGTACTTATAATCTCCAGTCATAACAATTCAAGCTGTTAGATAACATGATAACACACTCGTCCTCCATATTATGAGTATTTTGTTACCTACATTCTAGAATTATACCGAGGCACGTCCTCAGCGTAGAATTTGTAGAAAACTCACTTGGCTTGAATGCAGGCCATTCTGTCTGTGGGATACGACGGTCATCGAACTCCTGGCCACCGTAAGCCAGCAGCAAGCGGACGGACTCGCCCAGAGCCTTCACGGGGAAGTAGTAGAACACGACCTCAGGCATGGTTCTGGAATAATAACATTGATTTTATAAAAAAGAAAGACATTTATTGTTCACCAACCAGCAGAGCTGGCTATGGGACTACATATTCAACAGAGAGCAGGCAGTAGCGTGGTGTAATGTAATGGTGGCCCGGAGGTAAGACGCGCCCTCTTCTCATGCATGAGGGTGCGAGAAACCTACCAATGGCAAAGTACCAATGTGAATTTTTCCGAGATATATGTACTTCCTAAGATTATTTAAACACCACTGACACGCTGAAGGAAAACATCGAGGGAAAACCTGGACATATAATTTCTAATTATAAGTTTCAAATCGCCAACCCGCATTGAGCAAGCGTGGTCATTAATGCATTCAAACCTTCTCCGTGTGAGAAGAGGGCATTGGTCAGTAGTAGCCACTTATAGGCTGTTGATGATTATGATGAGGCAGTAGCGCTCTCTGATAAACCTGATCTTTTTAAACTATGATCTTCGACCAACCTAATGTATAGGTTATGACCGACCTCCCTTTTGTAGAAGGCACGTATGAAACCATGATACGAGAAATACAACAGACAGTCGGGTTATTATGATTATTATTTATTTAATAATAAAAGGTACATGATATGCCTTACAATCTAGTGCCATGTCCAACAAAACTATACATAAATAGTTTATGTATAGTTAAATAGTAACATATCAAATAATACTATGCGTTTACGTGAATAAATATTAAAATACTGAATTGTATCAATTTTAACTTTAAACATTAATTCATGGCAAAAGTACAAACATTATAGGACCATGTAAGAGAGAAAATTAATAATGTAATTGATCATTTATGGTGATAACAAAGAGTATATTGAGTAGCGTGGGTTCGGAGATACGGTCCGTATCGACCGGGCTTCCGATTGATATGAAAAAAATAATAAATCGTTACCATCAACAGCCCATTAGAATCCATTGCTGGACAATAAAAACAGAACAAAAGAGGAGACGGCAGAAAAACAGAACATATAATCTACAGATTATACGCAACAGATTTACTTGCTGTTTTTTTAAACAGATATTGATAGTAGATTTATAGTTATATTTTTTTACTGCGAAACGCGTACGACGTCGTGGCAAAAGCTAGCGATGCATAATTTTATACCTAACTACATTTTAACCGAGTCTTTCCATGGGAGCATTTAATCGGGATAAAAATATTCTACTGCCTGACTGCCTCGTTGGCCGAATGGTCGCAAGTGCGACTGCCGCCGGGGCAAGGGGATTCGATTCCCGGGTCGGGCAAAGTATTACTGGGTTTTTAAAAAAATATCTTAGTAGTAGCACGGAGTCTAGAATTATGCCCAGTATATGGCAATAGGCTCACCCCCTATTACATGGAACTCATAACATAAATAATGAAAAGTGGGTGTTACATTGTACAGTGGCATAATGTGCACCTTCCCGAAGGGGTAGGCAGAGGTTCCCGACCCGGGAATCGAACCCGAGACCCTTTGCCCGGCAGTCGCACTTACGACCACTCGGCCAACGAGGCAATCTATGTATACCTATCGAGAAATTAGAAAAAAACTCAGATTCTTTGTTCCCAGTTGTATTATTCTATTCATAAGTTTTTCTGACAGACGATTCACAAGACAACGGATTTTGTTACAAAAAAACTCTTCAACTTTACTGTATTAGTTTAATTATAAAAATTAACAAACAATAGCTAACTACTTAACATACTTTTCTATATTGTATTATCACACGATATTCTGTCACACCTCAAAGATTTTGACGGCTTGAACGTTTTAATCACCTATGCATTGAATGTAAAATTAGGTACTGTAATGTTTATAATTATTATTTTTTAATTAAGTGTGGGAGAGCCATGCTTCGGCACGAATGGACCAGCCAGTAGCAGCGCGACAGTCGCCGCGTCGCGGGTCGCGAAATGCTGCTCATGAATATGAGCCTCTAGCATGGCTTGAAACTAGTCGAGTTCCTCGTCAAATTACTACGTGAGTAAGCCGAAAACAACAACAGAATGAATATTTAAGTACTTTTTTATTTTGTACAAAAATGTTTGTTAGACGAAATATTTACACAGCTTTAAGGTAAAAATAAACCATTTTTATCTATATTCATGAAACTTAAACCAGTATTGGAAATGGTTAATTTAAAACAAAAGGTTCAAAGAAGTATCATTATATTATTTCCAAATTAGATAACGCCAAGTTAATTCCCTTATTCCTTTAGATGTCTTTAATCAAAAACGTACCTATCGAAATCTAAAAATAGATACATAATAAGAATTACCTAACACTAAATACTAACAATAGAGTAACCGATCGATAATAAATTAAACACTATCGACAATGACAACCAAAATACATTAAATATTCATACAAGAGGCGAACTGTAAATACACGCCCCCCAACCTAGAGACGATCAATTGTTATTCAGTGCGATCTTAACCATATCTTACTACATCGTAAAGCGTAGAAAAACGTTCGATTTACTTGAAAAATTAGCCTAAAATTGGTATTATAATTTTAAAATTTTATTTTCAATTTAACTTCAAGTATTATTTGCCGTATTTTAAGATACTTACAGTTATTTTTGGGAGCACGGAAGCAGTGTCGTCGGGAAGGCGCTCTCTCCAATACTAACCCGCCGACGGTTGCCGGCCGGTAGAAGTAGTCAGAAGTTAGCCGCTATAAACAAAAACGATTTCTTTCTATGCAATCGTATTGACAAAAATACTGAACACGCCTCGCGGTTTTATCTACTGAAATCTAGAATATTCACTGTAGCGGCTTGTCGAATAAAACGACTGCAAATATGAATAGCTTGTGTAAAAAATTATAATATCAATCGAAAAGAAATGTTAATAGGAGTCTTCCTCTGTCGAGAGACGTCTGTCTGGGAAGGTCAAATAAATAATGCACTTGATCTACCTCTATATAACGTCGGCAACGCATTTATGATGTGACTCTTCTCTGGTATATTAAGTAAGTAAGTATTCACGGGCCATCTCTTTCACCATCAGAGAGTCTAGTGCAAGTTTCACAGCTATTCGATTGTCTTAATTTTAACTACAATTTATATGAAATACAGCAATGTAGCCTATAGAAATCATAGACATAGACCTCCAGACTGGTCACTTGACTGGTCCTACCATTCCGGTCTTCAATCTAGGAGTTCTCTGCCTGAGCGGCTATCAGTTTTACGTGTTCTGTACCCCGACCAATTTTTTTTTATGGCATAAGCCGGTAAACGAGCATACGGATCACCTGATGGTAAGCAATCGGTGTCGCTCATGTACACCTGGAACACCAGAGGCGTTACAAGTGCGTTACCGGCCTTTTGGGGATTAGGAGTTTGAGGATCGTTGGGGATTCAGGGATTGGGGAGATTGGGGAAGGGGAGGGTAATTGGGCCTCCGGGAACCTCACTCACACGACGAAACACAACGCAAGCGTTGCTTCACGTCCGTTTTCTGTGAGGCCGTAGTATCACTCCGGTCGAGCCGGCCCATTCGTGCCGAAGCATGGCTCTCCCACACTTATTTCCACTTAATTTCCGGTAATTTTAATGGGCGTATTTTAAATGTCAGCGGTTTTCATTTTTTTACAGATCTCTGTATTTCTTATCTTGCAAAGAAACTCAGACTCTTCCTTATGACCTTCTTAAGTATTCAGGCAGAATGTAGGTGTGTAGAAATACTGTTTTTTTTTAATACGATAAATTATTGGGTTCTTCTTCTTACCCGAGCTGGGCCGAGTAGGTATGTAGATTTTCGATTTTTGAAAGGAATACGTGACGAATCGGTAATCTCATCTAGAAATAAAAGGCGCTGTCATGTTTAGTTATTAAAATTATAGTTTCAAGAGATAAGTTATTGCAATAAAAATAAGGTTATCGTTTATCAATGACTTTTGTGTTAAATACGATAATTATGTTAATTATGTACCTAAGTACCTATATTTAACAAAACATGGCAATAAAAATTGTTTCGACGAAGTTACTCACGGACCACCTATAGGTACCTAACTACACCGTGAAATCTATTTCGTTTTCGTCCCGCGGCAAAATAACTTGATAGATTTAGAAATGATAAAAAATTGAAACAATAAGTTACAAAGTAACAAAGTTTAAACATAAACATTTATTTCAAAACAAATACGAAAATTATACATTTGCTGAATGTTGAATTGGATTAACATCTAAATTATGTAAAAATCACGGCAGTGAAGAACCGACGGCCGATGGTAAGTACAGGCAGGCAGATTCTCGAATGGCCTCCACGTAGCGTCAAGCGCAGCGTAGACCTTCCACCAAAGGTGGATAGAAGAGACTTGATAAGGATTGCAGGACGAAACTGGATGCAGGTAACTTCCAACCACTTGAACTGGAAGTCACTGGGGGACGCCTATGTTCAGCTGTAGACGTTTTGTGGCTGATATTATGATGATGATGATGATAGCAGTAATTATTGGGTAATGGGTATAGGCAGTACAATTAGGGTTGCAACCCGTACTTTATAATAAAGTATTGTACGTTATTTAAGGTAATTGTACTCTATACTTTATAAGAATTATAAAGTACACGAAAATACTTTATTTTTGCAAACTTCATTTCTATTAAAGTCGTAAGTATTTTTCGGTAAACTTATCGATGCCATATCGATATTTATCGATTTATGTTGAATCGATTTCGCCACTCGCCAGCGCCACTTAGACAATTTCTAGTAAAGATGCAATTGTTTAGTAAAGACAGTAATTTAACTCGTCGAGTACCGGTTTTGTAGACACAATTATAGAACAATAGGTTGCGGTCACCGGTGACCGCTTGGTGTTTGACAGTTTAATACAAACTGCAATAAAAATATTTTTTTAAATATAATTCTAAATAAGAATAAATTGTACTTTATTTTTGTACTACGTACTTTTTTTTCTTACCTTTAATCAATACAATACAATCGTCAATATACTTTAAATACCAAAATAAAAAGTGGCAACCCTAAGTACAATACAGTAGACTGAATGTTTTATAAAACTATTTAATGTATGTGAACATTCGTATAATTCACCACAACAAAGAATACGATATATCTAATGAATTCTTTGAAGACCTCTGCATATGCATTTGAAAATGGAACAGAGTTTAGCAAATACATAACTCGACATATTTCCTCATAAAGGTTTTTAGTATTATTCTCGCATGCGACAGTCCTGGGCATGTTCCTTAAGGCTGACAACTGTTTTCGATTCAGTGACTGGTTTCGTGGTATATTACATTCACAGACAACGCAGTCTTCGCACGCAATCCCATAATTGTCTTTTAATTTTGTAGCGCGCTCCATTCCATGTGTTACAGGTTCCAATTAATGACCTCTGTAAACAAAAATACAAATTAAAACCAAATAATAAAAAGTTGAGAAATAACTTCTATATTAGGTAGGTACCTACATGTAACTAAATGTTAATTGCTCTCCTCTTTTTATTGGTTTTAACGCTATGAGTGCTGCACTGTTGCGAAGCCCAATCACGTATGTATTTGGTGTACAGGAATGAGCCAAATTCCCGATCAACGGAAAGTATCCACAGTTTTTGTAATCGTGTTGTTGCATTGTAACCTTACAAATGTAACGAGCGACATGCAACATTTTCACTGGTGTACAATACAGAGACAGATACAAAAATATCCGAGCCACTGCACGTATGGCTGCTTCCTTCTCTTCTGAACCTTCTGGTAAGAATGACGTTCTCGTTTCCAAGTAATGAATTATATTAACAATGCACATACATCTATTAAACATTCTACCATGAATAAATGGGTTGTCAGCGCGTGGTTTCAACACAGAAAACTTATTGGAACCGAAGATCTTCGATGTTATTTCATTTTTTATTCCATCAGTGCCCAAATCATTAGACACGGCAATGAATTCTTCCCAAGAGTTACACAACCGACGTATCTTAAGAACAGTTTTGAAAGGTAATTTTACATCATTCACTATGATATCTGCAATTTTACATTCAACATCGTGTCCCTCCAGCATAGATTTTTCTTTGCAGTTTTCGTCACAAAACAAAGCTGTACAGCAACCATCACAAGGTTTCAAATCAGGTGATATACGAAGACAATAATGGCATGAAGTAAATACATTTTTTGAATGAGTCGCAGCCATAAAGGCTGTCTCGTTTGCGAGAAGCGTCCCCACCACGATATTCTTAGCAGCAACTACTTTTACTTGTCCTGATTCGACTATGACGTCTACATCTGGAGTAGCACACGGTACGTCCACATTGTTGCCCTTGAGCTTGAAGAAATTGTTAGTAAACGGAGTAGATCTGTAATTAAACACAATAATGAAACAAGTATAAATAATTTTTTAGAGCCGCTATCAAATACTTATGCCTATTATTGTAATTCGTAACTACAGGGTGGCAAGTCGGCAAACTGCCACGGCCCCCTTTTGAACCCCCCCCCCTCGTTCAGAGGTTTTTATTTGAACTTCCTGTTTTTTATTAGGAACGGGGATCCATCCGATGAATTTACCACAGGCCCCGAAGTAAGTAAGTGTAAGTATGACTAAACGTAATACTTACACCTTTTCCAATGCTTCTTTTTCTTTGTGTACTGATTTACTGGCTGTAGATTTCATCTTCGTTAATTTGTCAACTAAATCTTGTGGACAATTCAATGCAAGGCAAGTATTAATATTATTTAGACTTAGAGAACAGTGCGCAGGAAATTTCAATAAAAGTTCAGCTCTGCCACAATATGCTAATTGCATGATTTCAGAATTATTTGGTGCAAACATCAGTGCGGTATTAAACCCTAACAATGCGAGTTCAGCATTGCCTTTAGACATTAAAACCAAACCATGTTGCAGAAAGTTTTGAGATACCGACGTTGATTTTTCATTGAAATTGAACTCCAGCCAATTGTTAGTTTTATTTAACACATTTCTAGCAAGTACCACACAATCCGATAAGTCATCACTCTCCAATACATTGTAGATGTCCTCTAAAGACGAATCCGTGTAATATTGGTACAGTCCCATCCAGTAATTATTCATTTTTACTTGTTCGTGGCGCTTTTCACAACTTTATATAAACTAGACTCGCTCACTAAGTTGAGACACTTTAGTAAATAAGATACTTTACGGGAGTACCTACTCAGAACTGTAGCAGGATCCTTACTTACTCACGGCTATTTAAACTCTTTATAATCTCAAAATAATCTACCAAAGCGCTTAAAAATGTTATCTGATAAATTCATAGGTAATGACGACGTTCGAACTTCAGAGTTTTGGAATTCCCTATTATTTTAAACCAATGATGCCATTCGTTAAGACACCTGATGCAGTTTTGAGACCCAACTTCTACGCGTTTATTATGAGCCTCGTTGTGCGTGTCACGCCAGAAGCATTCGATAGGATTAGGTATCATATTCAATGTCCTTATTTTATACCTACATATAGTTTATCTATTTAAGAATGACGACGAATGTTTGAGGACTAACAACTTTAAAACTATGGCAACACTCAATGAAAGTACGTTTTACGTTGAATGTCGTCAGCTGTGATCGAGTTTGTGCAAATCAGTGTTTATTAAAGAGGTACTAGAGATTTTGAATAGAACAAGAAGCTGGACAAATTTTATTAAGTTAAGATTATATTTTCGCTCGAACAGTGGCTATGACGAGTAGGAATCATATTACTGTTTATATTTTATCTACCAGAAGTGAAAAACCTACAAAATAATCGATGTTATATCTGAAATAAGGGATTTTTACATTGCACATTTATTTAGCTATCTAGAGCAGTACAATAGCTTGCCAACTGCTCTAGTTGCATTTAATACTATGACGACTGACATAAATTAATTATTAATTAATTAATAGACATACTTGTATGTCGTGTCCGATTGCGTGGGTTGCCAGAACCTTGCGGTAATGTATTTTCACCTTAATGCTGTCTAATGACAACTGTCAACATTGTTTTTCAAATGTCAATGTCTAACAAAAAATAAACAAGCCCGGTGCGGTGGTGAGACGCTACGTTGTGCAGTGAATAATAAATACTGTGCTCCTATCAGTATTTAGTACTAGGATTTTTGTGCTGTGTGTTTTAAGATTAGTAAGGTGTTAATACTTATTTCCTTTCCCATATAAGCTGTCACAATCGCGGCACAGAGTCACCCTTATCTTACTGATAAACTTTTGACTGTAATCCTGAATTTTATTTCGATTGCAAAACTAATAGGGGGCTATAAAGCCTTAAATAAATTCTTCTTCCGTTTTTCTAAATAACTCCCCTAAAATTACTGAATAGCTTTAGAGAACACTAAGTGTACTATTCATTATTTATATCCGTCCCCAAGATCAGATACTCCTTTCTATCCATCAAAGTCTATTTTGTTCTTAATATAAATGGAGATAGAGTGTAAAGTCATCATTCTGGCACTAATCAATAAGATTTGAAATCATATGGATGGGTATTGCTAGAGAAATGCCCATTATGTATTGAATGTGGTAGGTAGTTTAGGCATTTCATCTTGCCTTGTAAACTAAAATTAAATCCAATCTCAAACCATATAAACCATAAACCAAGGTTCATTATTCTACTGCCTCAATATTGAACATTTTAGAAAATTAGGTGGGGTAAAAGAAGTGAAAATTATCAGTACAAAATAGTAAAACATGATCAAAGAATTCATTATAATAATATTGTAAATGAAATAATTTGTTCTTTTTTTATTCAGAACTTTACAATGAGTCAAAGGCGCAACAGACAATCCAATACAGAAGTTGATATATCAGCACTGGAAGATGCAATTAAGGAATGTGTTCGGTACATAATTTGTCGAGAAGGTAGTAAAATACCAATAAAAAGAGGTGAAGTTTCTAAACATCTTGCTGCAACCTGTCACACTACACCCAATCAAGTAAAGACTGTTCTAATTGAAGCAGACAAGATACTGAAACGGGTAAGTTGTGAAATGTCAAAGGCATGACAATAATATGTTTTTTAAGTGTATGAGAGCCATGGTTTGACACAAATAGACCGGCTCAGCAGGAGTGATACTACACAGGCCTCACAGAAGATCGACATGAAACAATGCAAGCATTGTGTTTCGTTGTGTGAGTGAGGTTACCGGAGGCCCAATATCTGTAGATTCGAAACCAACATGTGCAACCTTCCAACTCACATGCTACTAGTGACAAGTGCCTAATTGAAGCAAGCATTGTTGCTTAACTCGTCAAGTACCTTCATTATAGACACAATTATAGAACAATAGGTTGCGGTCACCGGTGATTTCTTAAGCGAGAAAATTGCCTCAGAAATAGTAGTTTATGTATAGTAATTTTAAGAATGTATAAAGGTTTTATAATAGTTTTAAGAACCTTAAACTACATTTTTTCACATCATTTTATATTTCCGACTTCATGTAGAAACCATAAGCTCTTTGACATATTCAAGTAATCTAATTATAGCATTGTGTTTTTCCAGGTTTATGGATACAAACTAGTTCAAGTGGACTCTCAAAGTGGTGTACCATACATAGTAGTACTAACAGAAGAATGTGAATCCCTGCCATCACCTGTCACAGATGTTCAACACAGAACTATACTCATTGCTGCACTCATGCACATCTTTATGACTGGGGCTCCAATCAAAGAAGGTTTTTATACTTTATACACACTTAAATACTTTGTATGTTGGGTTAGCTTAATTTAATGTTACATAACATAACATCATGCCTTTTATCCCATAAGGGGTAGACAGAGGTGTACATTACAGCACTCAATGCCACTGTACTATGTAACACCCACTTTTCGCTTTTTATGTTATGAGTCCCATGACATAGGGGGTAGGCCTATTGCCATATACCGGGCACATTTCCAGACTCCATGCTACTGCTGAGATTTTTTTAAAACCCAGTAATACTTTGCTCGACCCAGTAATCGAACCCATCGGCATTCCCACTTACTACCACTCGGCCAATAAGGCAGTCTAATTAAATATTCATTGTAATATTCTTTTTAAAATGAATTACAGATGACATGTGGAAATTCCTAACTGAAGCAGGTCTTATGGAGAATGAGAATGACCAGACAGTAAGGAAACTGCTGACCCATACATTTACTCGGCAAATGTACTTGGAATATACCAAGGTAACTTTTCTATTTTTTATGGTTGAGACAGCCTGATGACTTGATGGTAAGCAATCAACATGACCCATGGATACTTGCAACACCGGAGGAAATGCATAATGTTCAAGTGGCCACAACCACGACAGTTGTGCTTGCACGCATGGCTTCAGAATCAATTTTTGAGTCAGACAAAACAATACTGTGTTCGATATTAACAACAAACTACAGAGAGCTTATTACGAGTTAGTTTTATGTCTAAGGAATTGAAACGAGACTGCTTGATTGATTGGTTGATCGAAGCTGGCCAATCAGAGCGCCGGACGCGTACTAAGGCCTAAGCTATAATGACTCTAATAACAACGACTTCACGGTTGGCGCGGTAGCTGGGCAACTGGCTGCCGCGCGACGTGGAACAACGCTTTATGTGATCCACAGATTGTTGTTCCGGGTCTGGGTGTCATGTGTATGTGAACTTGTACACGATACAGGAGAAAATCCTAAAATGGGGCTATGTCACAAAAAAAATGTTGGAGCTACTATAGCTCTTGTGTCTCGTTATCGAAACCACTTTCTAAGGAAGTTACAGTAGGCCAAGGTACCTACGAAAATGTTCAATATTATTAAAGTCTGATATTCTCCATATTTTTTATATTTTTACAGGAAGGTGAGGATGATCTTGCTAGGCATGTCTTCCAATGGGGCGCTCGTGCCGTCGAAGAAGTACCAAAACCATTTCTTCTAGGCAAAATGGCAGAGGTAAAGTTTGCATTTTAATACCTTCAAATTATTGAAATTATTGCCATGCTCCACAACCACAATTTTTCCATTTTATCTGGAATTTTGAAACCTAAATAAGCAAAAGTGGTTTAAAACTGATTTTAATTTTAAGTGGTCATCTATTTTCTTTTTTGGGTCTCCCCCGTCCTTGTCACAGCTGGTGACATTTGTAAGACCAGTGTGACACTCACCCCTAGGGTGACGTCACATTGTGCAAAACATAGAAATTATTGAATGAAAAAATATTAATGAGAGATATTAACAAAAAAAAATGTATTTATTCAGATTTAGTCATTGGCGAGGCCTATGTTCAGCAGTGGATGTCCTGTGGCTGATATGATGATAATGATAATGATAATACAGATATAATTGCATATGTTTTTTAACTTTTCATAGTTTAATATTTATAAGGTTTTTTTTATTTATTTATTTATCGTATTTACTATAAGTACAGGATTATCCATTTAAAATAGCAACCAAAATCCACTAAGGTTTAGGTGTTTTATCACAGATTATAATAGTTTTTAAATGTGACGTCATACAGTTTAGGATCCCTTCCACTCTTGTCACTCAATATCGCACTTTGTCAACCCCCTTCCGACGTAATGACTTATGACGTAATTTATGTATGGAAGAAAGAAAACTAATATGTGATTACAATGTCATAAGTGAGGATAATAAAATTAAACTATGTACTATTTACTTTTCAGGCGTTTCAAAAAGAACCAGAGTATTGGGGTGAGCAGTACAAGAATGCACATCAAGACACAGAAGTCTAATAATTTGTAAAAATCAAATAATTATACCGTTAATATTACTTAGGTACAAAATGTGATAAATAATAACCTTATCATTTGTTTGAAAGAGATACTTTCACTATGTACATATTTTAAAATAGTTAATTTTGTCAGGAAACAAAGTACAGCTTATTATTTTATACTTTTTTATGTGTAATACGAAAATACTAGGAAGCAATAAAAGTAGTGATCTAGTTCCTCCTTGTGATTTATGAAATGGATTTGTTAATTTGCAACTCTTACTATATCTTGTCCTCTTCATTTATAATGCAATTTCGTTTTGTATGTCTTCAATTTAATCACCTATTATTAATAAATAAGTTGATTTTTATTATTAATTTATTTAATTTTATAACAGATTTTATAATTTTAACAAAAATGAAAACTGAACTGCCGAGTTCGGGATCCTGAATCCTGAATCGAGTAGACTGTGATAGTGAAGAAATGTCTTGTTATTTCTAACCATTACAATATCGGTCACAAGTATATATGCGCAAAAAATCGCTCATCTCTAGCCACAGGGAATTCCTGATAAACATAGACCTTCCTCAAGATCCGGCCTGGAAGCCTGTTTTAATATTAGGAGTTAATGGTAATGATGATGATTATAATATTAAACCGATCAAAAAATTCCCTGCTTTTGATTTAGCTTAAAAACCCCATATCTACATAAAATAAAAATTATATTGACAGTTGACATTTCAATCTGTCAATGTTCGAATGTCACATGAGATGTCAGGTAGATGCAATGTCACTGTCGTTAAACTACTGTCAAACACAGTAAAGTAGTTAAGTGTCAAATTCAGCTGGAACGTACTGTATGTTGCACACGTTTTGAAAAATTTCTCTTGTAAATTTTATAGGTCCACTTTAATTAAGTACAATATAAAGTGTATAAACTTTGTGTGTTAAAAGTGTAAAATAGTGATAATGGCGCAATCACCCGCAGCTGTAGCTCCTCCTAAGGAGCGCTACGTGCCGAACGCGCTTAAATTCGCTTTCGGCGGCCTTGCCGGGTACAAATCTTGAATTTATTTTAAGAATACAAACATGTCCTTTGAATAAGATCAATGTCATTAACATGGATATAGAGAAAGGCTATCGTGTTTTGTTTTTACGATCAAAGTTATTGACTGACAACGAATCATATTAGAGCGTTGTTTAGCAATATTAAACCTTGTCCCCGTTAACGACTATGTGCTAAATATTACTCTAACAAATTAAACTTGTAATTAAGATCTTTAGGTTCATAATTGAATGGATATTGGTAGCCCAGTGGTGATTATGTAATAAGCCAGAGGTACAAGTTTACAGATATCACTGAGTTTCTCATTAATTTCTTATCAGATTTCGTATTCTTATTAACGCCAACAATGTTTGCTTCACTGGTAATGTAAGATTTAAAAAATATGTTAAGCTGTTAGTTAGCAAAATCATTTTCTATTGATTAAATTAATATTTTATCACAGCTACGTAAATATCTGAGAATGTTCAAAATCTCCCAATATTGGTTACTTACTTGCTAACCTATTCATTACAAGTTATAGTAATTGTTGCTGCCTCTATCTAATTTTATTTTATAAACTTATAAATAATTTAATTTTTTAATAAAATAAAAAGTTTTACTCAAATACTTATAGATCTTTAGCCCAGATAGTTTCTTTTTACTATTATGCTTTTCAAAAAAAAATATGTTTTGATTTCGGTCATAGATTATGCTAAACAGCATTATTTTTATTTTTTGTTTCAGTATGGCAGCGACATGCGTCGTTCAGCCTCTAGATTTGATCAAAACTCGGATGCAATTGAGCGGTGGTAGTCGAACCTCTTTTGCTGTTGCTGGAGAGATTGTGGCCCGAGAAGGCTTTGTGGCACTATACACTGGACTGTCGGCAGGCTTGCTGAGACAGGCCACTTACACAACCACACGTCTCGGAGTCTACAACTACCTTTTTGATTCATACAAAGAGTGAGTACTGCATATTGAATACTTTACACATTATATTTAGATAGAATATTTAAACAAGTAGACTGTACTGCTTCTGCCTACTCTTCTTTAGAATAAAAGCGTATTAGATTAATTTTATTATATTTGTCCAACAAAATAAATAAATGCTACAAACAGATCAAACATTATTCAATAATAGTGTACATTGTCAGACATCCAATTACGATGTTATGCACTCAGTAACAAACAGCATTGCTCCACAAGTCTGAACCTAACTACAATAAATATGTTTCTGCCCTAATTTGAGAAATATGAACAACATCATGTTAGCCTCGCATCGCACATAACTGGGTACTTGCAAACTAATCAAATTCAATACTTTTTGAACTGTCAAAAAGACAGTTCTCTATGAATTTTGTATGAGATGTTACGTTTTTTTTAACGTCAAACAGCATACTTATTTGTTAAAAATTTGCTAGAAAAATTAAGTTAGTCATAAAATCAATTAATGAAAGTGTGATGATTATTTTCTAATAATTATGTTATTGAACAGTCGAAATAATTTATTTTTGATTAACGCAAGTACCCAACTGCTGGTGGAAAGCGCATGTTTTTATGAGACAGGAGGCATACGCACATTAACGTAAGTGAGCATCGCCGCCGATATACATCGGCAACGTCAAAAGAGTTACAAGTGCGTTACCGACCGTTTAAAAATGAAGTAGTTAAAACTCTTTGGTTGTAGTTTTTAAGTATCGAATCGCAAACATCGTTGGAAACAATTCATTCCATTGTTACGGAATGAACGTTTAAATAACCTTTCTAGGAATAAAACGCGTTGTGTTGACTCTTATTTCTACTGTCACTACATTTCTGCCTATCCCCGTACTTATTTAGCGCCGTTCTTACACCCACAGTTGGTAATTATGTTATTAGTCCAATGGTAGTGGGGAATATATGGCTAAACAACGCACACGCTAACAAAATTTCAAGCTTGAATGCCTTTATCCGTCTGTTTGTTTGTACCTAACTACCTACTGGCTAATGTCTGGAATGGCTAGACCGATTTTACAAGACTTTTATTGGCAAGTATTTGATGTACTAAGGAGTAACATGGGCTACTTTTATTTTAGAAAAGTGAAAAAAAATTATATTCTAAAATTCATATTTTACGCGGATGTAGTAGCGGGCAACAGCCAGTAATAAGTAAATGTCATGGAAAAGTAAAATTAGTATGTAGACATAGTTGCGATTGCCGGATTGCGTGTCACTCAATTAAATATTTATGAAATATACTTGATTAGCGACCCGCCCCGGCTTCGCACGGATGCAATATACATCTTATACTTCTTATACTATTATATAAAGCGGAAGAGTTTGTTTTTTGTTTGTTTGTTTGAACGGGCTAATCTCCGTAACTACAAGTCTGATTTGAATAATTCTTTTTGTGTTGGATAACGCATTTATGGACGATGGCTATAGGCTATAAAACATAACGCTACGACCAATAGGAGCTGAGCAGAGCGTGTGAAGCCGTGCGGAAGTAGCTAGTGTATTATACATAATAAACCCTCCTTAAGAATCACTCTATCTATTAAAAAAAACCGCAACAAAATCCGTTGCGTAGTTTTAAAGATCTAAGCATACATAGGGACAGAATAACTAAATAGACTATAAGAACAAAGAATATAACATAAAACCCATCAAATGTAATAACTCTATATGTGAATAAACGAATTTTGAATCAGACAGACGGCGGATAGCGACTTTGTTATACTATGTAGTGAAGTTGACACATATATATCTAATGCGTAACTATTTAAGAATGCACGGATGATATTCTTCTACACACACAAGACTATTTTATTCCATTAAACAGACGAAGCCGCTGGCAGAAACTAATCGTATTCACATCGATTGATCGTAATTGAAATTGATTTGCAGACAATGTATCAATCTAGTATCTAGGCACAAATGCCTACTATCTAGACCAGGCCTTAGAAACAAGACCTATGTAGTTACTACCTATAGTAAATGCTACGTTAGTTTATTTATAAACAGCAGCTTTAGTAACAGATACACCAAGTGACCTGTCAACCTCTCACTTGCACTGCGCGGTGCATTGTGCCCGATAAATTAATTTATACACATTGCATAAATGCGAGCAAAATAAACAAAACACATAATATACTCAATATCCTGACTTTATTCTGCTGTTCACAGGTACAAGTTTAAATTGTTTGTGCTTGGTATATGGCGATAGATGGGTAATATTTTTTTTAAGGGGGTAAAATCATCGAATGACTTCTCCCGCCTGGGTGAGGCGGGAGGGAGTGTCAGACTCTTACTGACTAAAAACCACCCCGTTCCTTCTCCTACACGTCGAGCCAGAGCCCCGGTTACCCGTAAGGTTCTCCGCGACAATAGATGGGCAATAGGCCCACCTCACCCCTATTACATGAGTCTGATAACATATTTATGTACCATAGAAGTTATTTTACATAACATAACAACACGCCTTTTATCCCTGAAGGGGCAGAGGTGCACATTATGCCACTTTACAATGTAACATCCGCTTTTCACTATTTATGTTGTGAGTCCCATGTAATAGGGGGTGAGCCTATTGCCATATACCGGGCACAATTCCAGACCCCGTGCTACTACTGAGATTTTTTTTAAAACCCAGTAGTACTTTGCCCGACCCAGGAATCGAACCCAAGACCCCTTGCCCGGCAGTTGCACTTGCGACCACTCGGCCAAAGAGGCAGTCGAGCAAGTTATTTTAAAAAATGTATTTAATTTAAAGGCTTGATGTTATGGTATGTGTGAATTTATGTATTTATACAAGAGCAATTCACTTACGACAAAGAAAATGGATATTACCTAAATAAAAATAAGTACCTATTGCTTTCGATCCCTCTTACGATCTTACGATGATGAAAGTACCTAAATTTTAGCTAAATGCAAAAATTGCTTTATAGAATAAAAATAAATGCCTTACGAAAACATCTGACTACTCACTCTAGGGTGCGTCCACATTTGGCAAATGCTCCGTCACGCTGCTACTGTAGTAGTACTTACTGTACTGTAGTATGTAGTACCTACTCATGAATATGAGCCTCTGGCATGGCTTGAAACTAGTCGAGTTCCTCGTCAAATAATTACGTGAGTAAGCCGAAAACATAATAATTTATTGAAGAATGGAATTAATGGCAAAAGCAAATATTGCAGAGAAAACTAATTCTTGGTAGTTTTTTTTTTTATTTAATAATTCTTAGTCTAGCAATGGATTATCACGGGTTGTGAACGTGATATGATATTTAAAATGTATTATTTATAGATTCATATCAGAAAAATTGTAAAATATTGACCGATAATCTCCATCTTTATGTCGATATATTCTATTTCTGGACTACATATCTGAGTAATTGATAATTTGAAGATATAAATAGTAACACTTCTAAAACAAATAACACCATGTCCATGAGAAAAATTAATGTAAAGAATTTTTAGAGGCCGTAAAATAACGTGTAAATCGTATAACCAAAGGCATTTTATGAAAGTCTAATTAAATTAAAATATGACCAAGAAGTCACGAACATGCCAATGAATATGCTTTTTTCTATCAACATCATACGATGACTTGAAAAGCCTATGAGACACCACTACTGGAATATGAATCTTCTTAACAAAAGAAAAGACTGAAGACTAAGAAGCAACGAGGCAAGACTGCGTCGTTGGCAGAGTGGTCGCAAGTGCGACTGCCAGGCAAGGGGTCTCGGGTTCGATTCCCGGGTCGGGCAAAGTATTAGTGGGTTTTTAAAAATCTCAGTAGTAGCACGGAGTCTGGAAATGTGTCCGGTATATGGCAAGGCTCACCCCCTATTACATGGGACTCATAACATAATTAGAGAAAAGTGAGTGTAACATTGTATAGTGGCATTAAGTGCCGTAATGTGCACCTCTGCCTACCCCTTCGGGACTAAAATGCGTGATGTTATGTTAAAAGAGGTGTTTGCTATATCAGTAGGAGGGCTGGAGACCGCAGTTTAAAAGGTTCAGGTTTATCAAAAAATGCTACTGGCCGACCTAAGGTATTCGCTTAATCGGCTCTTATGACAATTGTATTTTAGGTACTATACTATCACCACATCCACACAGCACTAGTTTCCAATTCACTCTTTCATTAATCATTGGACATTTCGTAAGAAAAATACAATGACGATAACCAATACGAGTATTAACTCGTTTAAGTGTGTTTTGTGTGATACAGTTAAAGGTTACACTTCGAGTTACAGTTACACTTTGCTCGTGAATTCGATAAGACTTGCTGCAATAAGTAGGTACCTAATTATGTAATCAAAGGTCTTTAACCTTTCTTGTGAATAATAATTGGTACTTTACGTATTTTTTGTTGTACTACCTCTATTCTCGAATAACGCTTTGAATAAAGCGTCTGGAAATCTCAACTCGATTTTAATTAATTACCTTATTCCTAGTCGAACAAAGCAAGCAATATTCTGCTGGATCAACGGCAACCTCTACTAGATGTTTGCAACATTATGCACCCTTGGCAGTGCTGTCGGACATCGTAATATCGTAATTGAAAAAGTTTAGAGAATGTTTCAAAGAGCAATGGTAGACGGTCACTAACCTAACGGGTAACCGGGGCTCCGGCTCCACGTGTAGGAGAAGGAACGGGGTGGTTTTTAGTCAGTAAGAGTCTGACACTCCCTCCCGCCTCACCCAGGCGGGAGCAGTCATTCGATGATTTTACCCCCTTAAAAAAAAGACGGTCACTATCAAGTGTTTAATCAGATCTTACGACTCTTACGAAAAAGTAGGGATTCTTAGAACTGTTTTCCATTTTACAGAACAACATACTCTTAAAATGTTTTATTTCAGTTCTACAAACATACATCATATCGTACCTCGTTAGTAAGTGGCAACGTGAAAATGCACACAATTTTTGCGCATTGCAGCCAGTTGCTTGTTGGCAGAAATTCGCGTATTATTTTTTATTACGATTGACCTAGCTACTGCATTCCACTTTTCGTTAAATAGTCATAAGCAGCTAACGAAGTTTTATTCCAAGTTCTAAGTCTGAATCAAATTAATTACAAAGTATGTATGTAGCCACCCCTATTACATGAGTCTGATAACATATTTATGTACCATAGAAGTTATTTTACATAACATAACAACACGCCTTTTATCCCTGAAGGGGCAGAGGTGCACATTATGCCACTTTACAATGTAACATCCGCTTTTCACTATTTATGTTGTGAGTCCCATGTAATAGGGGGTGAGCCTATTGCCATATACCGGGCACAATTCCAGACCCCGTGCTACTACTGAGATTTTTT